TCTTAAAGGTCAATTGAATAATCATAGGAATGATGTTCTAGAAGAGTATCCACATTCTTTTTCTCAAGTACATCTTGAAATTTTTGATATTAGCTTGGAATGCCACTTTAAGTCTTTATACCATTACAAACAAGTATGGCATAAATGATACAAACTGATCATTCTTTTGCAACATGTAAGAAATTTCTTGCACCTATAAACATAAGTTTGATTGTAGTAGACTTATGATTTTCTACTTGATTAATTACACTCTTAGTTATACTTTTAGAAAAGTCAAGAATACAAGAAATCTAATTTACTCAAGGGTTGTATTTTTTTAACCACAGTAAGCCTAAAATGATTAGATTAGATAAAAATCTAATGATATCAAATACCACAAAGCTGTTATAACAATTGATTATTACTTCTATATGAAGGATTTTGTGAGTAACATCTCTAGAAGACAATGGACGATCATCTATGACTTCTACATGAACATGTTTAGTTTTCTTTACTAAAAATATGCTAAGTCTTTTAGTAAATCCTTCATCTAAGAAACATGCCAAGGCTTTTGAATCTTATAGGCTAAAGGCTTTATAATGTTTAGATACTAAAATAATATTTAATATAAAACAAGGTACGAGTTTTGAGGAGAGAATATGACCTTCATTAGGTATTGTATAAGGTTTGAGCCATACGGTTCCTATCATAGCTAGAGAAACTTATTTTCTAATATATTATCTTTTTTGATATTTGTACTCCTCATTTTATAATTATGCTACTTCTTTGGACAATGTTGACTAATGTGCTTAGATTCTCCAAAATATAAGCACAATCCTTCTTAATGGTGATAAGTCTTTTCTTGTTTAATAAGAAGTTTAAAACATAGTGCATCAATTTGCATATCTTCTACTTTTGAATGTATGTGTTGAAAAAGCATTGATATTGCCATTGAATTATAGTAATGTTGAAGTCCACTTCTTCAGCTTTCAAACTAAATTCAAAAAGTCAATTATCATACTGTATAGCAAAGTCAATTGCTTAATTCAATGTTTGAGGATGAGTTAACTTGAGCAGAAATTTCTTTACCTCATATTGTAATCCATAGAAAAATTGATCAATAACTGTAATATCATCCTACTTGATATTAGTTACAAATTGTCAAAATTGTAAAGCATATAATGTTACAAATTTATTGCCTTATTTCAAAATATGGATCTTGTTGGTTGCAACATAATTTATATCATGTTATCCATATATGAATCAAAACTCCACCAAAAAAGTCTCTAAATTATCCAATATTAAATTTCATCATTCAAAAAAAGATGAAAACTACAATAATATTGAATTTGAAAGAAATATACCAATAAATCTAACTTGTGATCTTAGAGTTGGATATCTTTGGATTTAAAGTTCAATCACAAGTTATACTTAATTGATAAATCCACAAAACTTGGATCTTGTGCCATTAAGCTTTTTACACAAGACAATTCTTAGTTTTCTAGTATCAAAAGGATGTTGGACCATAGGAGAAGCGCTATGATTCAGTGTAGATGTTGAAGCAGCTCCAATCCTATTTATATCTTCATTTCCTACCATTTTTGTTGCTTCATGTGGTGATAAACTAAGTTGATGCATCACAAGCATCAACTCCCTCAATCGTTCTTGCATCTAAGCTATTGCACTCTTTATTTCAAGAAGTTGTGCTATGATAATACTTAAAATAAAATATCTAATATTACTCAAGACAAGTAAAAGGAAAGACTTAAGAACAAAGAAGATATTAAGAACTATATTAGTTTAGAAGAGAGTAATCCGTAACTTCTAATACGCTTATGTCTTATCAAAAAATGAATAATCCACTTTTAATTAAGAGATGATAAAGCTCTAATATTATAAGTATACTCTTATTAATCTATCAAGAATATGAATTGAAAGAAGTTACATAAACTTTTTAAGGACATGAATCTAGAAGAAAGAAAATCCTTAATACACTCAAGTATGACTCAAAGGAATTAAAAAGTCACTCAAAGATGATATAATATTGAATTGGAATGACTATTGCTAAAAAAAAGAAGACTAAAGGGTCTTGAAATAAGACTAAGGACTACAAAGGCATTGACAAGAATGAAGAAGGCTTCACTCTTGTCTCTATATATACTCTTAACTAAAAACTACATAGTGATGTCTTATAGGACCTTCAAAACATGTTGACTTTGCAAGACACGTATCTTAACTTACAAGGCAAGTTTCTTATATGTGTGCCACATAGTTAACTTGTTCTACAAGCTATCAATATGTGGTTAAGTTGTTGACCAAGTTTCTAACCTACTAATCAACTACAAACATATGTGAAGTCAAAACAACATCTAATAATATAGGTATTTACTAAAGTACCTTTGTATATCCATGACAAAACCTGGAAAATTTGTATCAAAAGAAAAGTGACAAAATATAAATAAAGAAGTGTGTATATTAAAAAGAAATTAGAATGACTATTGTCAAAAGACAAAGAAACTAGAGACTCTTGAAATTAGACTAAAAACAAAAAAAGAGTTGATAAAAGTGAAGAAGGCTTCACTATTGCCTCTATTTATATTATCTACCTAGGATCTATATAGTGACATTCTATAGGACTTTCAAAAATGTGTTGACTTTACATGACACATATCTTGACTTGCAAGGTAAATTTTCTATATGGCCACCATATAGTTAGCTTGTTTTGCAAGCTACGAACACATATAGTACAAGGATAGCTTGTTGACAAAGTTTCTAATCTACTAATCAACTACAAACATATGTAAAGTCAAAATAACATCTAAAAAACTTCTAAGAAACTTCTCTAGAAGGTATTATGAAATTAATCTACTTTCACCTAATTCTACCTATTTAGGTAACGAATAGGTATATATATGTGATATCTAGTTCCATACATAGATTATCTTTTACAAAAACTACAAACTATCCTTTGATTGCTATTAATTATGACTCCTTGCCAAAATAATTGTTATAATCTTATCTCGTTGCTATACATCAAATACTACATAAAATTCCTAAGACCTTTGCCATTCATTGACTATGATTTAGAATTCATTGAAGCACTTATATTGTTACATTCTTATGGTTAGACACGATGCAAGTTGACAAAGTTATACATCCAACTTAAGAAAAACCACCAATATCCAATAAAAAAAACTACTTTATCAACATTTTCAACATTAATTGACATGTTTCACTTAATTGCAACTATCCTCAAGTTCTCCAACTCGTCAAGCAAATTTTGACTCAAAATCAAGTTGTTCAAAGATTTCTTGAATATAATGCTAAGCTACACAAATTGATGACTCTCCATATCATTTCTAACCTCTTAATAAACAAGATATCATAATCCAATTAATACCGATATAAATGTGTACTACAAAGCTAATTCTTCAAACTACAAGATTTCAGATAATAGATATAATTTTGGAGGTTGTGAGCCAAATTGAACATTTTGTGTATCATACTAGTATACAATTAGTGTATCTACAATGGTCCAATTAAGGCAAAATTTGTACAATAAAAGGACATTATCAAGAAGAAGACGAGGTGCAATGTGCCAATAAAGGCTAAAAAGTACCATATCAAAATTTGTGTGATATGTGGTTGGCAAGATACACTTAAATAAAGAAGACTAGTAATAACTTATCACAAATGAGAATAGATTTTCTATTATCAAAATACATAAATATTCTTAATATTTCAACATATTTGAGGTATATATATAATATTTTCTCTAAAAAATACTAAGTAAATTAGTAATCACATATAATAATCAAAATTTTATAAGATTTGGATTTGATCTTAACTTTTTTTCAAAGATGGTAAAGTTAAGGAACTACATATTAATCATTAAAAATTTTAATTTTTAAGTTTTTGAAATGAGCTTTCACTTATTAACCTTTTAAGAAACATAATAAAGTAAAAATAAATAAAACTTAGAAGATGATTTCAAATACTTTTAAAATTCTGATTTGTGTTATCAAATAAATGCATAATTAGTTTATCAACAAAGTTCTAAAATAACTTACTGTATATAAATACCTGAAAGGCCCCACTGTTAATCAAACTATATTTATTACAATACTACCAAAAAAAAAAAAAAAAAAAAAAACACACACACACACACACAATAAAATGTTACAATGTTAAATTTAACTTGAAAGTATAACCAAAACTTTGTAAAAATAATAATATTCTAAGAAGTTATAAAAAAGAAACAAGTTCTTATTATCAAGGTCCAATGAAGCGATTTCTTAAAATAATGAATGATATTCCATTATTAAGTATAGTTGGGTAGAAAAGAGTACAAATCAGAACACCAACAATTAAAAGAAATTCGACAAGAAATGGTGCAAGAAAAGAGAGTTCCAAATAAACAAATAAACAATTTAATTAATAAGGAAACACAGAGTGTTGTTGGATTTCTAATGATTTTCTTAACCCAACGGACAAGAGACCAGAAGAAAATTGGATTCCTCTCGAAATTCCAAAAAGAAAAAAAATAAAGAGTCTCTCTCTAAATTAAATGCCACTCGTTCCCAAAGCCGTTAAAAGGGAGAACAAATAGGGAACGTGAAGGGAACAGTCCCATCGTAGGCTTACCTGAGAGTTCCCAGAGCGTTCCCGAGAAAGGCCGGGAATAGGGTCGGGACCGGTCAAAGGTTGGAACCCGCGAAAGGAGGGGGGCTTGACCCGGCACCACCTGAGATAATATTTTTACATTTAGTTAACAGTCCAAAGGTCCCACACTAACTAATATAGGGCGTGTCAGCCAGCCCCAGAGCAGTTTAAAAAGCCACGGGTCGTCATCAGAACCCGACTATATATGGCGGGTCTGACTGAGATTCCCAATTGACTCCCCCCCTCCACCCGCTTCTCTAATCACCCGCTCCTACCCGATCGATTAGCGCTACTATGTTTTCACTAATCCACACCCTCATTAACCCAGCTCCTCCTCCTGCCGAGACTCGCTCGGGAACTGTGTTTAATTTAACTTTGGAATGGGGAGGAGTGTCAAATCGTCGTCGGACATTGTGGTTCCAGAAATCCTATTCAATTCGAATTTCCGTGTTTGGAGCCACTTTTTGCAGAGGATTAATTTGGAACGCGACATTGTTCCATTCCCCTCCCTGCACTAGCAGTAGCAGTAACAGTAGCAGAATCGTCGTATTTCTCTCGTTGAGTCCTCATCGGAGATGGTGAAGAAGCACTGCTGATCCCTTTGCAGTGCTGTTGCTGGTGTTTGTTTGTGTGGGAGAGAGAGTGCTTCTCCTCCTCCTCCTGCTGCTATTGCTGCTACAGATTATCTCTGGAGCATTGGTGTCAGCAGGGCTCTGAACGCATGTCAGGAGTGGGGAACTAAGTAAAGCGCAGGGAGGGGGGGGGGGGAAGGGGGGAAGGAACTCGAAGCACCTAGGGGGGAGAGGGGCTCACCATAGCTCACCAGTGCAGACAATGCCGTGCTATACTCGTCCTTCTGTCAATGCTCTGCGTGCCCTGTTTCTCTCCAGTGCCATTGCTCTTTGCTCATTGGTTCCGTCTCCGCATCGGCTGGTGGTTGCTGGTGTGATCGTTCACTTGGTGCCAGCTTTGCTGCGTCCTTGCCTCAGAAGCGGTACATTGGAAACCATTGCACCTGAAGTGGTTAGAAGGAGTTGGCAGGAGTGGGGAGTAACTTTGGTATGGAATGTTTGATGTCGACATTGCGGCTGGAGTGATGGTTGTTGGTCTGCGGTGATCATCTTCAGGGGATCAGTGCCGAGGGTGGAAGCGAGTTTTTGAAGGTTTCTGTGGTTTAATTTGGTGATGTGTTCGGTTTCGATTTGCTCCGCCATTAGTGTTGGAAAAGTCGATGGTGCTGTCGGTTTGGGTTGCAATGTCTGTTTTTGTACATTACGCCTTCCGATGTGTGAACATGGATGGGTTTGTGTAATGTCCCTTGGTTATTCTGCCACCAATGCGTAGGAGGTTGGCTCTCGTGCGCGATTATGAGTTGGACCTCACGGTTTGTATTCCAGCAAACGAGAGCAGTGTGACATTGGTATACATTAATGAAGTTGTTGCATTAACACGTGCTTTTGTCTGCGCACCGACAGGTATATACAACCGCCCTGTGAAAATTTGATGATCCACTGCAGTCTTTCCCCTTGACGAACCTTCAAGGGCATCGACAAGCAGCTTCCCGTCACACTTGCAAATGCACGGAACTCAATATAAGGGCCACTGCGACATTGGATTGATATATTCTGCAAGGTTTCATTGAACATCTGGTTCCTAGAATTGAAGGTTTCTTAGAGAAACTTGAGACGTTTGGTGCTGGTGTTGGTGGCGCTGGCTGAGCGGTCAAGGCAACAATGGACAAAGGCAGATTCTCTTCACATCCGCCGTCGGTCCCACTGGAGGGGGCGGTTCATTTTAACGGGTCGTAAATCTGAGTTCGAGGGCTGCTGCAATTGCAGGTGCGCATTGATAGCATCTATCATGTAGGTTTTCCTGCTTCTTGTTGACTTGTCATGGTCAAACCAGCTGCATTGTCAGCTGTGATACACTGATGGTGTATGCTCTTCATCCACTGACTCTCACTGGAAGTTTTTAGCCCTTATGCTACAGGCAATGCCATGTTTACAACTCACGCTCCAAAATCGTATGCCTTGCTTACACAGGCAACATTGTCACCGCCGATCAAGGTCGGAGCATCAGACGTGCGAGAATGCCTGGGAGGCTGTGGCACTTGCTCCTGGTCATTCCGGCGCTTCTGAGCCTTTACCAAGCTGCAGTTTCAGCCACTCCGCAGGAAGGTGGGTAGTGATCAAACCAAGTTCTGGATCATTAATTCTTGGCCGTTGTAACTGTACCCAAGTTCTGAATAGTTTCGTTCTTGAGTCCTTGTGGATCTGAGATATATTTTTTCAGTAAACGATGAAGAATCCTTCAATTCTAACGTCTTTTTTTGGATAAAACCGCATCAGCGTCTTATCTGGTACTTTAGTTGATGCCATTAAGATACGTGCTCTTGTATGTCATATCAAACCAAGTTTTATTTGATTCACAAAATCCTTTTTTGTACGAAACTGACAAATCTGAATATGCTCAGCATCTTTTTAGACGATTTGTTCCGAACTCCTCTTAATTTGTTCCATTAATGCCAACCCTTGTTAGGAATATAGATTTTCTGAGGTGAAAAGCTGGGAAGTTGAAAGCAGAATTAGGTGCAATTAGGTGCTGATGGTTGTGAAACGCCTGTGCTCCAGCTGCTGTGCTGACGCAGTTGAAAGACATCTGGAGCGTAGGAACCAATAAAGTGAGTCGCTGGAATGAAAGTGTGGATCCTTGTGACGGGCCATGGCCTGGCATCACGTGTGCACTCAAAGATGCTATCACGTTTCCGAAAAAATGTCGCATTTCAAACACTTCTTGCAAAGTTATAAGCTTGTAAGATCTCTTTCCTGCTTTTTGATTGCATGTCACTTGAAGTGGTTTCTCTCGCAGTTTATGAGCATATTACTCATGCAATCTTGTATTCTTACAGCCATGTTACTCTGCTCTCATCACGCATACTACATATAATTTACTATTTTTAGAAGGGTAAATTAGCCGTATATGAAATTCGATGTGAAGCTTTTGTAAGTTCTTTATGAAGCCGTGTACCATAGTGTCTCTTCTTTAATGAAATTTGGATGAGGTAATTGCTGAGCCCACTTTTATGACACCTAACTACAGGGATTTGTCGAACAGTAATCTCACTGGAAAGATTCCTTTCATCCTGGGAGGCTTATCTAACTTGCTGTCTCTGTAAGTTTGTTCACAACTGCACACGCCTCATGGTCTTGTGCAAAAATGTATCTACTACAATTTTACTGTGGCTTTTTTGTTCCAGTGATGTTCTTGCTCTGTATGTGACGTTCAGACTAGCACTATTTCATGTCTACATATGCCTTGAAGGCTATCAGGGAATCGAAGATTAATTCTAAACGTCTTATTCATATAACATCCTCACCGTGCCTGGAATGCTCTGGCTCCAGCGCCCACCCAGACATTGCTGAGGAAGGTCTAACCTTGAGGTTTTCTCTTGATTATTTTCAGAGATTTACACGGGAACCAACTTTTAGGAGAAGTTGCTACACAGCTTTTCGATGGCTTTCCTGATATCCGTCACGTTGATTGCTCTTACAATTACTTCAATGACACTATTCCCATCACTGATCGTGCCGACATAAAAAATTCGAGCTGGGAACATAACTGTTTCTTTGAGTATGGGGGTTGTCGATTGCTGCCGAACATGCGTTCTTTGAGTGAGTGCCAGAACATGACTGAACTTGATCTTCGAACCTGCCCGTCCTGGGTTCAACAAAACCCTATCGTCTTGTACATTTTGGTGGGTGTAATCCCCTTCAGTGTCATCCTCTTCACCTTCCTCATTGTAATGTTTTGCTGCTGGCGGAGGCAATCGAAGAATCGAATGATCAAGAGCAAGATTTCTTCGTCAAAGATTCAGTCGGTCGAATGCAGGGTGTTCACATACCAAGAGCTGGAGGAGGCAACAAACAAATTTCATGACAACCGGCTACTTGGCTGCGGTGGCTCTGGAAGTGTTTACCAAGGCAGGTTCGCGAATGGCTCATGTATGGTCGTCAAACAACTTGTGAAGGCCCGAGACTGTGGGGATGCCGAATTCTGGAAGGAGGTCCTAACTGTTGGGACTATTCAGCATCCGAATGTGTTGCCCCTCCGTGGATATTGTAAAGAATCCCGAGGTAGAGAGCGTCTACTAGTGTATGAGTACATGTCTAACGGTTCTGTCCTAGACGCTCTGCTCAGTAATGACATCTACCTATTGCCTTGGAGTCGAAGGTACAGTATCGCCCTGGGAACAGCTTGCGGGTTGGAGTATCTTCATGAGCACTGCACACCGCGCATTATCCACAAGGACTTGAAGCCCAGCAATATCCTTCTTGACAGAAATTTCACTGCACGAGTTGGTGATTTTGGTCTTGCTAAAATTGGCCTCTTTGAGCAGACCCATGTTGGAGCACAAATGTTTGTAGACCCTGACTACACACTGACTGGGAAGCTGACTGATAAAAGTGATGTTTTCAGTTTTGGAATGCTTCTCTTGGTTCTCATCAAAGGTCGACAGGTTCTTGAGACACCCGGTGCGTACTCCCTGTCCTCGTCCTGTGCCGTTCTGATGAGTTGACTTTTGGAACCGTATTTTGCCACAGGGCCTTATTGAGGCCCTTTATTTTCACATGTTTTAGGGTTAATATCCGTAATTTACCAAGTTGAATGTGTGTTTGCCAATGTGATTAAGGTAAAGCGCAACTTTTCTCCTGCATACAAGTGCTTGCGAAAGCTGACGATCCATCAGAACTTGTGGATCCACGGCTGAGAGGTGTCTTTGACATGAAGCAAGTTATCCTGTGTGCGCAAATTGCGTTGCTTTGTACTAGAATTCTCCCAGACCTACGGCCAACTATGGGTGAAATACGACGCATTTTAGATGGGACTGCGAGTATTCCTTTGACAACAAGTATGATCAACAGTCCTAATTCATCCTCTCGTGGCAGCTTCGTCTCTGAATGCCCAACTCCGTCAATTGGTAGCTGCTATGGACACCGTGCTGGAAGTTTCATTTCGGACTGCTACAACATGTCCACCAACAGTCGTCATGGAGGTGCTGGCAGCATCTAATCATCTAATCATCTAATCGAACAGGACCAAGTCCCTTGAAGATGGGTGGCTCCATGAGAACAGTGCCCATGCTGAGAAAATTATCCCGACGGGGAGTGATTTAGACCCTCAATAATAAGGCTTAACATCGGTCTGCTTCAGTGGTCAAGCTAGAGTTTATGCAAGCCCTCTGTGCGTAATAGAAAGAACGAATTCGCACATCCGTTGATCGGCGTTTTGTGATCTGCAAGCTGTTATCTTCATTTTACACTTCCATTACAGGTGATTTCTTCTGATGCGTTGTCTTCATGGCTTGCCTGTACCTGCCAAGGTCAACGTTGAGTGAAGAGTCTCGAAGCATGTCAGGCTTGCACAAGAATATTGCCCTGGATGTGTTCAAGTTCTTGAAATTTTGCCATGGACTGCGGTCCTTTGTATATTATTCGTCGTTACTGAACCCTTACTTTGAGACTATTGAGACGAACGCTGTTGAATTGGAAATGAACACTACCTTTCAGACAAAGAGTGAAGTCTGCACATGGTTTTTTTGTGTCGTTTCAACGGTGGTGAATATGTTCTGCTCTTGTAAATAAACAGAAATTTATTTTGTAATCATCTGGTCCTTCTAGACACAAAATGTTTTGTCCGGCACATCCTTAATGCGGACTTCACGGTGCAGAGGTATGCAGTTCGCGAGATCGTTAACTAGTATACATTTCATCTTGCTATGAAACACTTACTATGTTCCTACTGGCCTACTTGTGAAGCACTATTTGAACTAATTCTTGGTCAGACGTTCACTCATACATGAATTGTGGACGAGGTTATGGCACAAACACCCATCGAGGTCTTTTCATGTCAAGAGGAAACTTGTCTCAGGAGAGTGTAGCACACTAAAGATAGTATCAATACATGACAAGTTGGGCACAAGTCATGACATAAGAATTTTTCAAATATTGAATAGGCCAACGCAAAACACACACATAGGAAGAAAGAAGGGAAAAAAAAGAAATTAAAAATGAAACAAATAATCAATTAAATAAGCATTAATATGAAACTTACTTCAAGAAACCTAATCATACACATAATGGCCTCAATCTAAAAGACGAATGCTTTTTGGAAACTAAGTGCTTGTAGTTCAGCAAATAGTTTAAATTATTTCTTTTGAAAACAAATTTTACTGTATATCTAAAGTCTAACTGAACGCTAAATCCAACAATTGCTCTTTAACAACCCAACACTAAACCTAGCAAATGTGTGAATTGAATCTTAGAATAAAAAAATTAAAAAAAATCGACAATGGTCGCACCATGGTAACGCAACAACAAACCCACACATAACAATGGTATTGCAACAAAACCCTAGGTTGATTTCTCAGCATCCCACTCCCACATTGCTCACCAAGTGGAATCTACACAGATCATGCAGCAGCAGCAACAGCCAGTTTCTGGCCTGACTGCACCCAGCCTCCTTCTCCACCCATCCAAAGCATGGTTGGAATGTGACCCCCCCTCCCCCCGACTGTGCTGCTCGGCAGTGCCTCGTTGGTGCGAGTCCTAATGGCATAAATCCCATATCGTTTCCAGTGGCTAGTGGCTCGACTAGCCTACAAATAAGGGAGGGGAGACACATCCGAAGATTTCTCCCTCAATCAACACAGGGACGCCCGGAAGAGATGAGCGTTTGCGCGCGAAGTGGCCGCCCCATGTACCTCGTAACAAAAGGCAATCTATCCCTGTCTGACCTTCTCCCGTGCTACATTACCTTCGTCAACACTCGTCTTGTTGAAACTTTTCCTACTTAGCTTCTCTATCCCTGTCTGACCTTCTCCCGTGCTACACTACCTTCGTCAACACTCGTCTTGTTGAAACTTTTCCTACTTAGCTTCTGAACTACGTGCCCTCCCCCCTCCCAATACAATTCCAGTCCGTTCTCTCGAGTCCAACATTGGGATTGTATGTGTAAGTGTAAGTTTGTATTTCATTATATTTTATTGTATTTCTCAACCTCCTCTTCTACTGTAGAAGCGTCCGGCTTATAGCACTCCAAGCTATACTGCTATTTCTGCAAGGAAAGGTACGGGATGGGAATCGATCAATCGAATTTTGAGTGGAATTACCGAAATGAATATTATTCAAACTCATTAGGAATACTTAGGCATAACAATCTCTTTAGAAACTAGTGAGCTTCCTTCTTCTTTTTTTTTTTTCTTTTTTTTTTTTCTTTTTTCCTACACTTAGCAATAGCCTCTCAATGAATCAGTAGATGATGTTGGAAAACTTTGAAGGCAATCTTATAATAAAAATATATTTTTTTGGTTCTTTGAATGACAATAATTTTCGAAGTTTGCACTTAATTATCTAATTATTTTTATTTTTATTTTTAGTATAAGGTGTTATATATGTGTCGTCAGAATGTGCTCACAAGCTTGAGTTCACCCTTATTTTAAAGAAATATAGTCCGATTATTTTGATAATCTAAATACTATACACTCATAGAGTCCATGTCTTTGATTTGGCACTCAATATTACTCTTTTATATAAATGCAAACGAGTCCCTTCAAAAAGAATCTTCAGAATCAAGTCATAATTTCAAAATTGTAATTTCTTTTCTTCATACAGTCAATTTCTAGTCACAACAATTTTTGTTTTTATATAAATATTTTTTCAAAAAAATTCAAAAGAAAAGAAAAGAAAAGTCTGAAGTGTCTATAAATTATTTAGAAAAATTTGTTAATTGTTATGATCAAAGTGGTTATTTATTCATATAACAGGAGACCTTCTTGAAATGTTTTCACATCCACTTTGGCTACCATACATCATTGTGGTTTTTAAAAAAATGTCGAGGAAAAAAGGATTAGAAAAAATAAAATAAAAAACATCACAAAAAGAGTTCAACCAAACAACTCGAGGGTTATATTAGAAACATGAGGTTTAAAAACACATTACAAAGATATGACATCAACAAAAAGAGAATATTTGACATGTCATTTTAGAAGATTAAATTTACAATAATTCAAGTCCAATTGGAATTTACAATCAATAACTACTATATCACTATATGATACATACCCTGACCTGGATGGAAGACCAAATCACAATTCATTCAAGGAAGAGATTCCATGTTGAAGAAGAACTAATGGAGAAGCCAGAGGTTGGAATGAGAAACAAGTGAAAAATGTTCTGCATTTGTCCATCTGACATCATCTGCAAAAAAACCCACATATTTTGGAAAAGAACTCGTCAGCAAAATTCCCATACTTTGTTAGTGACAATGCAACCCAACTGAGTGCTGCACCGCAAGACAATGCAACCCAACTGAGTACTGCACCGCAAGACAATGCAACCCAACTGAGTACTGCACCGCAATACATTGACACTGTTTTTTTACCGAGGTTGACCAGATAACCGGATTCCAGCATTAAAAAAACAATTTGCAAAATGCGCATTTCTGTAGAGATGCTTTTTGCTAGAAAGTGGGTTCAAAATCGATCAGAAAAAACACGACAATTACAAGATGAAGTCCACAATGCATTGAAATTCGTTCAACTAGAAGAGCGGTGGTGCAAGAGAAAGCAAGGGTGCACTAACACACTCCTGCACTACTATTACTACTCCTACTCCTACTTAGGGTTATGGTGAGGGGGATGGTGAGGAAGGATCTTGTGATGCGTGGCATCGAGTTTCGAAGCTTGGCAACATGAGTCTCCATTGTCCACGCCGCCTCTGCCCATCTAATCACTCACATCGTGATTGATGGAATGTTGGGCCTTTACCATTGTCCTCCTTTGATTCCAAATTCAAATTCCCGATAGTCCCACCGACTGACAGCCACACTCTCTCAAGCGAACAAAAAGTAGCAAAAATCTACTGCAAGATCGGCACCGATCCAGAACGTTCTTCGATCCGAATGCAAAATCTTTCGATTTCGGCATTAACCCACTGACGCTGCTCGGTCGAGAACAAGGGCTCTGTTCTCGTGCAACAAGCCTGCAGTGCACTGGAAGTGTGCGCAAACTTTCGTTGTGCTAACCCCCTTCCAACATTCATCCCCCTTGCGACTCCCGAACTAACCTTGTTCAACTCATGGCGGGAAAGCAGATCTGCATTTCGTGAACAGTGACATTGATGAAATCGTTTTTTGCACAACCTACTCCATCCTTGGCACCCAGTTCAATCTGTGGGTCTCTGGGATGCCGCTTTGAAGCTTCCTTCCTCCAGCTTGCCCTGCTCTAGGCTACTTTGTCGTTCTACTTCTAAGAATTTGATGAATGGTAGATGTTACAACACATTGTGTTGTAGTAATTGGTGATTTTGCGCTGGTCTCAGTTGCTGACTACAGAGATTGCTTGCGAAACATTACTGTTGATCAGATTTTTGGGAGGAGTGTGGGGTTGAGAGGCTCCGAAGTTGGGGGTGCATGATCGTGGTGAAGAGTAGGCCATTGAATCAATGACGAGAGAGGTTTAGCAGCAGGGAGGGTGTTGTGAGGTAATTTTTTTGGGGTCTTTGGGTTTTAGGGGAAGGGCAGCATTATGGATGCAAAGAAACGGATTGGTGCCCATGGAAATTTTCCGCCGTCTAAGCGGCTACAAGCAAAGGGGCAAGAGATGCCACCGCCATCTACAGTGTCACCCGATGTGATGGAGGAAGAAGACGAGGACGTGTTTTTAGAAGAGACCCTCTTGCGTGAGGAAGAGTTGCAGGAGTCCAGAGCTGCAGGAGCTGCACTCTTTACCAAATGGAGACGCCCCGCTATTTCGAGCTTGAACACTCAAAAGAGCAGCATAGGTACGCGCTTCTCTCACGCTGCACACACACTAGCTGTCCGTGCTCGAGTAAAATAATGTACTCGAAATATGTTCCAATGTGGAAATTGAGCGATGAGGCAGTATATTATGCAGAATTGTGAGTCAGTTTCTAGTCATTGGGCGACACAACCGTCGACGTGATTTTTTCTGAAGGTGATGGAAAGAGAACCGGCTTAGTACCTTCTCTTACAACGTAAATGACTCTTTTTTCAGTGTTCCAGCAGCTTGAGATTGATTACATCATCGGGGAAAGCCACAAAGAACTCTGTCCTTACAGAAGTGGACCAGCCGCAGTGCTCCGCATGTTTGGAGTGACGCAAGAAGGTGAAAATTTCTCTTCTAAGGGAGTGACTTGTAGTTTCGCCTATCCTAGTTTTTAGTCTTCGAATTCTCTAGAACTTTTGTATCCACATTGATCGATCTTGTTCTTGAGGAGAACTTCATCAAAGGAGGATGTGAGCACTGGAAAACATCTTCATTAACCGACGATTGTTGTTTTTTAAGGTGTCGTAGGTGCCGCCTTCCCAGAGAGTTAGTAATCTTAACTAAACAGTAGGGTTTTAGAGTACTGCTCTGTATCTACTGTCCGTCACTTCGTGAGTTCGGTGCGACACTGAATTGCTGCTGTTGTTTATATTGGTGTAGGGAATAGTGTATGTTGCAATGTGCATGGTTTTGAACCCTATTTCTACATCAGCTGTGTCGATGGCATTGGACCAGATGATGTTCCAAAACTTCGTAGTACATTGGAGGTGAGAAATTTCATTTGTGTATCTGGTAATATGGTGCTTATAAGTGCTTATAAATGTGAGGTATGGACAAGCTGTAGTATCTTGATTCGCACTGAAGTTCACTCATCAATTGATTAGTAGATAATGCAGTCATGATTTGGTTTTGAAATGGGCAGTCAAGAGTTTAAATGGTTAGGACATCAGTTTGTAGGATGTTTTTGTAAGAGACCGATTATCATGGTTACACACTAAGTGCGGGCTGATGTAAAATGTACGGGTGACAGACTCGCATGCGAGAGGCAAATAGAAATAGCAAATCGCAGACTTTCGTTACCAAGATCGAGGTTGTGCAAAAGCGTAGTGTAATGTATTACCAAGTGCAGAAAGCGCGATCCTTCTTAAAGATCTTCGTTGGTCTGCCGACTATGGTGGCTGGTTGTAGAGGTTTGAATACTCGGATGCCTTTCTTTCATATTGCAATATAATATCGACTGGGTGAAAATGGCACAGTTGATAATAAATGGCCTAGGACCAGATTTAAAGTAGATAGGTTCATTAAGACCTCTCATTTGTTTCTCTGCTTTATTGAATGCTAGATACAGTGCATTCGATTTCGCAACAGCACAACTGAAAGGCCGTTCTCTCAACTTACTCTTATTGCATGTATTTAAACTAATTTCTGACCTGTCTGGTGTTGCTTTGCTTTAGGAATTCTTGAAAAAGGGATCAATATAGATGGCATTGGTCAACGGTGCTTCTTGACCTATGAGAGCAATGTACTATTTGCACTACGTTTCATGATTGACTGCGATATTGCTGGTGGGAACTGGGTTGAACTTCCGGTTGGCGCCTATCAGAAGAGCTCCAGGCAATTGTCCTATTGTCAGTTGGAATTAGACATACAGTATCCTCATTCCTGCAGAGTAGTCTTCTGAGAGGAGGGCTTGCTTTTGCTGAATTCACTTTTCAAGCTGCGTGGAATTTGTTGCAAATTGTAGCTTTTGTTAGTGTTTATGGTATACGATAATACTCTTCCATGCTTACTTCAGTTTGCTGTATTCAAACACTTGCCACCCGTGCCATGATTTTCAAAAGTCTAAGAAGGGTTAGAATTTGCTGAAAGAATGTTTAAAATCATTGAACATGATAATCCTGAGATTTAAGCAGAAGGGTGGATTGGGTCATGTGTTGATTTTTTGGAGGATGCCCACTCTGTTTTCCGCATTGGTAATTTTTCTTGACTTCGGTTGCAGCTACAGCAAGATTGTCAGCTATCCAGCAGTAGGCCAATATTCAAAGATGGCCCCGTTTCGAATTTTAAGCTTTGATATCGAGTGTGCAGGGAGAAAAGGCCATTTTCCAGAACCAGAGCATGATCCTGTCATTCAGGTAAATTTCAAAGCTTTAATGTGAGCTAGAAGCTCTTATTTGGAAAGCGTCAATCATTGGACGGAAATCTATTACAATTTCACTTAACTCTTGGCGTTTGAGTAATGGCTAAGTTAATCTTGCCATTATTCTGGAGAATTTAGCGTCATTCGTACCTGCACATCAGCCAGTCAAGAAATCAGTTCTTTGGTCTTGTCTGTAGTTTATATGACATTGCTGGTGAAGAGGCGATTGAATCTGGCATGTCCTTGACTGTGGTATTCTATGGCTGGGATGGTTGGGCTAGATCGCCAACTTGGTTACAGTACAAGGGGAGCAGCGACCTATGGTGAAGAACGTCATGACTCTCAAGTCGTGCGCACCCATTGTTGGTGCTGATGTTATGTCTTTCGATACAGAAAAGGAGGTCCTTCTTGCTTGGAAGGTTAGGACAGTGCACTTTAGCATAATGCAAATTTTCCTGAACCGATGTTCTTACTTAATTATATATCAGTGCATAAACTTTGCTTAATTTGCACGTGCCCATATTACATATACGATCGCTGAGTAAGCAACCCAAAGAATCTAGTAGTTTCTTTTGTAGTCACTTGGTGCTAAATGATAGGTAAAGAAAAGGTCGTTAGTGTGGGTGGTGTAGTAGATAAAGCTTAATTTTGCAACTAAGTGTTTTCATTGCAGCAATTGATGGTAGTGGTGGCTTCGCAGGAGTTCGTCAAAGAAGTGGATCCAGATATTATTATTGGATATAATATTTGTAAATTTGACTTACCCTATCTTATTGAGGTAAGCGGCCATCAATTGCTTACTTTGGTGATTCTGACTTGTTTATGCACATTTGTGTACAGAATAAATTACACTATCATTTGGTTCATTTTCTTGGTGTGCTCCCGTTTCTGAAACTTTTCTTGATCGCACTGGTCTCTGTGCTGGTTTTATCTCTTGCAAACATAAGTTCTCTTGAAGTTTTGTACTCATATTCATGGATCACGTCTTTCGCATACGACATCTACATAAACAGTATTGTAATACTTACCTTTTTGTTTTTAATTTTCATTTTTCGCTATTCTGGTTTTGCTATCGGCAGAGGGCAGAGAAGTTGGACGTGGTGGAGTTTCCGATACTTGGTCGTATCAGGAACAGTCGAGTTCGTATGAAGGACGCATCCTTTTCATCAAGGTATGTTTAGTTGGCTTAATTAATATCTTAGGAATGGCATGTTCCTCCACCAGAATCTCATGTGCATTGTACGGAATGATTTTTACAGGCAATACGGTATCAGAGAAAGCAAGGAATTAACCATAGAGGGACGGGTCCAATTTGATCTTCTTCAGGTGATCTGTTATTTTTGTGTCATAAGCCTGAGGTTTTAGTACCTAGCCAGATGTACATTGCTACGCTAAAATAGCATATGGTGGGGATGGATGAGTGTTTTGGCCCACAATGATTTTTTCCAAGGTGGTCAAAAGTGCCATAGTAAACATGAATTGGAGTGATCCCTCGTGCATACTGTGGTCCTCAGGATGTAGTACGTTTATTGTCGTCCCTTAGGTACTTGTTTGAAATCTTTTCTTATGTCGTCTGCCAATTGATGCGATTCGGAAACTTGGTAATCAGGCCATGCAGAGGGATTACAAACTTAGTTCCTACTCTTTGAACTCAGTTTCTGCTCATTTTCTTGGAGAGCAGGTAATCTCCCCGTACCATCACTTCGTCATGATGAAGCAGAATTTACAACCGAGTCTTAAAATGTATGGTATTAGACTCGTGCAATAGTAAAGGATTGTCTGAAATGGTTCCAAATGCTAATATATAATGGGAAGCAGAAGGAGGACGTGCATCACTCCATCATATCCGACCTGCAGAATGGAAATTCTGAAACACGTCGAAGGTTGGCAGTTTATTGTCTAAAGGTATGTGTATCTTGATCTAGTCACATGAGTGGTCTTTAACTTGTATTAGCTGTATTTGTTGTTTATCTGGCCGCGTAGGCCATTTTTTTGGCAACAACTTGAGTACATAGCCTAATAAAGAGTGCGTCTCGTACACTGACCATGAGGTACCTTCATTTATGCACAGGACGCTTATCTTCCTCAGCGATTACTGGACAAGCTTATGTATATATACAATTATGTTGAGATGGCTCGTGTTACTGGTGTTCCTATCTCCTTTCTTCTTGCTAGAGGTCAGAGTATCAAGGTGGTGCATCATGACGCTAAGTCTACATCCTCCTAGGATTTTCTTTGCTAAAATTGTGCGGTAGGGAAATTTTGGGTTCATGATTCTTATGTAGGATGTCTTGAATGTATAAAATATCCTTCTTTTCTTGAATGCGATAGTAGACATCCTTTTCAATTATGGGCTCCATTATAAAATTGGAACCAACCTTATTCGAGGGTGTTGCTGATTTTTGTCAGCGATGTATATTGTAGTACTTGATTGTCCGTCATCTCTGGCAGGTTTTATCACAACTCTTGAGAAAAGCTAAACAGAGGAATTTTGTGTTGCCCAATGTCAAATCACAAGGAGTAGTATCAGGAGAAAGTTTTGAAGGAGCCACTGTAAGTCTTTGTTCAACTTTTGAGAAATGACTTTGTACTTATAATAGTTTGTATGCAGCTATCTGCTAGGTCATTCCCTCGTACCAGATTCTCCTAGTTAACCATGTTTTGTTTTGACAGGTGTTGGATGCCAAAGCTGGGTATTATGACAAGCCAATTGCTACGCTGGATTTCGCATCGCTGTATCCCTCCATTATGATGGCCTACAACCTTTGTTACTGCACTTTGGTAACCTTCTGCATCTAGTCGTGTTATGCAACTTCGACATGCAGTTGTACTGAGGCTCTCCGTTGTTTCCATAGCCATTGTCAGACAATGGCTTCTATGATGTTAAGTACTGTTTTTGTATATTTTGGTTATGCACAATTTTTGTGCTTGATTCCGGCTAGTGTTTTGAATTTCATCTTATTGTATTGTACATCGTTGGTGTATCTAGGATATTACCCGTTGAGACGCGCATATTGACGCGATTGCTTTAAAACTTTCCAGGTCAGGGCTGAGGATCAGCACTATCTGAGATTAGAACCAGAACAAGTGACTAAAACTCCATCTGGAGATATGTTTGTGAAACCCTCCTTAGAAAAGGTTAGAATGTGTTCAAACTGCAATAACGTTTCTTATTTCTTGTGCAAAGGGCAGTACTTGCTTATTATTCTGATTGTTTTATATTTTCGCGATGTTGCCGGGCTGTGATACCCGAAGCATGTTACTGATCATGTATGAACTCTCTAGCCTTCTTTCTTAATCTGTGATTCGGAAAGGTTATTGCAGTTGCATTGTAACTGGACTGGGAAGTTCCCAGTCTCGAAACGTTGTGATAGATGCCCTTTTCTTAGTTCATGTGTTAGCATATCTTCTCATTTACCGTCTTGAGGTGGTCGTTTGATTGTCATAGGGAATACTGCCCGAGATCCTTGAAGAGCTACTAGCAGCCCGCAAGCGTGCAAAAGCTGATTTAAAGGTTACTTCAATTTTAATTATGCTTTTGGGGTGTGCTGGTCACATGGTTTCGCATTCAGTAGAGTATCTTCAGGCATAGTTTGGCCATGTTGTGGCCTTCCATTGCTAGGTTGACCTTGTTACCTTTTCTGTGCTTCTAGTCTTTTAGAAGGGCTGTCTTCTTCGATTTCTATTTGTGGTTAATTTCTTATTCATTAGTTTCGGGTTGATTTATCATTCACGTAAAGATTGAGATGCATCCATTGCTTGCCAACAGTTAGCAACTGATCCGCTGGAGAAAGCTGTGCTAGATGGACGGCAGCTTGCTCTTAAGGTGCTTCCAACACACCTGCTTTAGCCTTTAATGAGAACACAGATATTTGGAAGTATCAAACTATTACTTGCATATTACTGTGCGTTCTTTCTGCATCGGTATAGTGACGGAAGAGAAATACTCATACTGGGCCAGGGTGAATGGTCTTTCTCAACATTATCATGGATAATTGTAGATCAGTGCGAACTCGGTGTATGGATTCACGGGGGCAACTATAGGGCAGCTGCCATGCCTTGAAATCTCCTCCAGTGTCACCAGCTTTGGTAAAGTCAATAACCCTGAATTTAAAGCAACAGCTAATTTCATTCCTCACAACTGGAAGTTTTTTATATCCAATAATTTTATCCCTTCTCCAACTACTGGACAATTGATTCTACCGTGTATATTTGAATTGTTGTCGGACATCTGGTTTTTGTGGCTTGTGATCATCAAGGACGAAATTAAGCACGACTTTAATCTATAATGTGTTTTAATAGACTTAGGGTGGGGTGTGCGTGACAGGGCGGCAGATGATAGATCATACAAAGAAACTGGTTCAAGAGAGATTCACTACAGCGAACAGTTATAGTCATGATGCTGAGGTAGGACACTGAAGAGTATTTAAGTAGTTCTTACCTCTTGTTGTTCATAGTTTTGAGGATGATATTTGTGCTGAAGAAAGCGTCTGTTCAGAGCTTAATTGATCAGATTGTGACGAGATTGAGGCATCTATTCTATGTACTAATTTTCTGGCTTTTGGACCCTCTTTCAATTACTAGCATGTTGATTATGAAGTAACAAGATGCAGAAGTAGTGGGTGAAGAACCACTTGAGATACTCTTCCTTATCCTTGAGTATTGTTTTACTTGTGTGACTTGTGTTTACAATTAGGTTATTTATGGAGACACAGACTCGGTCATGGTGCAGTTTGGAACTTCCGATGTTCACGAAGCCATGGAGCTGGGAAGGGAGGCAGCACAGCAGATTAGTGATACCTTTACACAGGTAGTTTTTGTGGCTTTTTACAAAATCTCTAAAAGAAATGTTTGAGTGATATACATTCTGAGTATGAAATCTTTTTAGACAAATGTTTTAGAGCTTCCATATTGAGATAGGTGCTGCTGCTCAAGTTGCTTCTCTCAATTTCTTGAAGAAAGATCAAGAGGTTTTGTATAATTTTCAGCCAGCGGCCGCTTGGTGGATGGGAACCTTCGCTCTGTTGTGTGTTATCAGTTTTTGAGGGAGGAATTTGCTACTTGTGTATCTTATGTTCGTGGTTTCACCAGCCTATCAAGTTGGAGTTTGAGAAGGTTTATTGGCCATACTTGCTCATCAGTAAGAAGAGATATGCGGGACTCTTGTGGACCAAGCCGGAGAAATATGATAAAATGGATACAAAAGGTATTAATGAAGACAACTGGCCAACGTCATGAGGCAGGGTTGTTAATTTTTGAATTCAGTTAAGCGGAATGTCTATCAGTGAAGATTCATTTTGTGAAGCTTTCATTTTATATTATCTGTTAAGTAATACACCAAATGATATTAAATTTGACCGTATACATGACATAAACAATGAGGATGCAGGGATTGAGACAGTCAGGAGGGACAACTGTCTCCTCGTGAAGAACTTGGTCACAGAGTGTCTTCATAAAATTCTCATTGATCGTGACATTCCTGGAGCAATTCAATATGTCAAGAATACCATCTCAGACCTACTCATGAATCGAATGGATCTATCTCTTCTCGTCATCACGAAAGTGCGGATAACAGTTCTGACTGCACATTCTGCTCATGCTTTTTGTCTTTTTAGCTTCTCTTGTTATTTATTCTCGAATGTCTGTCTGCTAGGCAAGGATCATTAACAAGGACAATTACTCTGCTTTTCGCAGTGTCATCTTCAATATCTCATAAGGCTGGCCTTTGCTATTCATTCTGCAGGGTTTGACGAAGGCAGGAGATGCTTATGAAAATAAAGCTGCTCATGTGGAGCTAGCCGAACGTATGCGCAAGGTGAGATGGGTTACGTTGCTGTCAATGGGTTGTAATCATTATATTCTCTGACACTTTTTCAGAGAAAAAGTATACCTTGGCAAAAAGGTTCGCAGGCATTTGCGAAGACTGTTGTTGTTCTGTTACGATTCCAGTGACCTATCTTTAGTCAACACTCGTCAATTTCACATTATCAAGTACACTCTAGTGCGTTGATGTGACGAGGTCGAAATGACACAACGTATGGTTTGTCTGTGTGTTCTTCATTCAGCGGGACGCCGCAACTGCTCCAAACGTTGGTGATCGTGTGCCTTACGTTATCATCAAGGCAGCGAAGGGTGCGAAGGTACCATTGTAATTTACCTGCTGCATTTGTGGAAGATTCACGTGAAGATGCTAGCCTTCATTGGTGTATTGTAACAAATATAGTGTCTATCTCCTGAAGGAGAGAGGAACGTGTTTTTATGTTGTGAATCTCTGACTAGAATCCTACCAGCCTTCTTGATTTCTACTGTTTTGCAGGCATACGAGAAATCTGAAGATCCTATATATGTACTGGAGAACAACATTCCAATCGATCCACAGTACTACCTAGAAAATCAGCTGAGCAAGGTCTTTATTCTATCTTGTTTACTTCGATCTAGATAATAGATCTTTATGGTTGCAACCTTCAAGAGGAATTCAGTCTACAGGCACATGTGTAGAAACTTTGATGTGTGAGTTAGGAACTCTGGCATAAGGACCGTAGGGCAAGGATTAGGTTCTGGAAGTGCTTTTTCTCACTGCTTAGGAAAATATTCAGGTAAACTGGATGCTCTAATGATATAAAGTATAACGCTTTGCATAAGCTTCTTTATTGCTAAAATATCGGTGCTTTTGATGGTCAGCCCTTGCTACGTCTTTTTGATCCCATTCTTAAGAATGCAAGCAAGGAATTGCTTCACGGATCGCATACACGGTCAGTCTCGATATCGACACCTTCCACTGGCGGTATAATGAAGTTTGCTAAGAAGCGTGTTAGCTGCGTTGGTTGTAGGACTCCTATCAGGTAAGTTACCTGATCTCTTAAGGGGATGCTTCATGATAATCCTTCTAATCTGTACAGGATATGGGGCCTCATAATATTGATCTGATGTACGAAAAGTAGAACTGTAATGATATGTTTCTCCTTCCGAGTAGAGCGTCAACTTAGCATTTCCTTCTAATATCAGTATACATTTTGCTGGCTTAGTTGTTTAGGAGATGACTTGAAGTCATTGTTATTTACCTCGAGGTCTTTGGGATTTCTCACGTCTATATTGTTTCGTAGTGAGGAGAACCAAATTCTGTGCAAACACTGCCAGGGACGCGAAGCTGAGTTGTACCAGAAAACAGTTTCTAACGGTATTTACGCAGCCATTGACGCTCCGCAGCATTTTAGTAGGAATTGAAAGTGGTAGCTTCAATTTATCTGTAATACTCCTGTGAATTTCGTATTTAGATAATCTATCTAATATTTACGCATGGTTATTATTATAATTGTCATCCGACTTACATGTATTCGGTGTTTTACACGTTAATTAGTTGTGTAGATGACCCGACGCATATAAAAACTAAGTCTTACATATTCCTTTGGTTTGGTGTGGCTACTGATTGTGACTAAGTCTACTCAAGTACCCTCCACTAATTTGAATGTGATAACTTATTTGGATGTCAGTGAGAGATCTGGAACAGCTGTTTGGAAGGCTGTGGACAGAATGTCAACGTTGCCAAGGCTCCTTGCACCAAGATGTTTTATGCACGAGGTATGTCCTTGATGTTTCACTCAATTACTAAGCTTTTACTGGAACATTTCCCGTCATTTGCCACCCTTGTCATCATGTGCCGCTCAATTACAAGTATTGATCACCAGTTGCACTTAAAAATTTTCACTGAATAAGCCTTTGTTGCATTGCAGCCGAGACTGTCCTATTTTTTACAGGCGGAAAAAAGCTCAAAAAGACCTGGGTGAGGCCGAACTACAATTGGAGAAATGGGACTTTTGAAACAAAAAATTGCTGAAATTGTGTTGTCACACAAGTATCACTTTGGCGGCTCACGGAGTTTATTGCGCACAATTAGACACTCACTAAGCCTGGATGTAGATTAAGTAGTGGATTTTGAACTCTAAAATTTAGTACAATTCCATTGTAAAGGTTGGCACCTCTATTTTCTCCCTTTCATGAGTGACTTATGAGGCTTTTTCTCTTTTGCATAAATAATGGCGCCGGGATCCTCAAACCCCTCTCCTAAGCTTCTTAACTGAACTTTGGTGTCAGTTCATAAAGCACTCTAAGTCATTCGTGCAACTAATCTAACAAACTTACCCTCTAAAATGTTGGATTATTATAGTATAATACTGAAATTCAACATCAATTTGAAGCAGTTGAGAGTTCTACAATTCCTCATTTTTTTTTTCTCCTAGCTTGATTGGACGGTTGTATTTGAAAAAAAACTAGAAAGGTTGCAAAGAACGATGATTTTTGCATGATTTTGACTTTGATGCCACTTGTATTGTTCTGCTTTGCAAGTCCAATCCAAGATCACCCTATATCAAAACTAACTGCAAAAATTTACAACTGATGTCTTGCCATTAAAAAAAGGCACTGATCATTCCAAAAACATGTCTGTAATTTTTTATCAAGTTCATAACTTATATCACATTACTACAATAAGTTTTTAAATAAGCTGAACAAAAATGAGGTTGAAAGGTATAGAAACAACCCACAACAAACACAAGAGCATTACCGGCACAAAAGCTAATCAAAGCAAATAAAACAAACCACCAAGTGCACATCTCTCTTAATTTATTTACTTTGCTTAACTTTTGTATCATTGATGTTTCCATGTTGTGAATTGATGTTGTTTTTTGTTTTTAATTTTATGTCATTTAGTCTTACTAGTGTTTACTTTATTAAAAAACTTGCAGCAACGATGTGACAGAGGTAGGTGTCCACGCAGCAAAAGGAGGGTGTCTACCTAACAATTTCCTTTATTTAAACATTAATACTTTCTAAAAATGGTCATAAATTGTAATATCACAATCTCTTTTCTTCATAAATATATGGAACAACATCAACAAATATCAAACAAGAAATAAATATGTATATGAACATACATATACTTGTTGTATTGCTTTTTTCTTTTTTGGGTGGTGGGGGGGACTTCATGAGTACCCAAGTGTGGAGCACCATACCTTTGGCAGCAAAAATATATTTAAAAAAGGGAAGAACGAAAGCCAAACAGAAAGAAGTGGATGTGTGGGGATCACCAGGAGTGAAGGACCCAACAGAAGGCCATGAACGAAGAGACGGAGCACAATCACTAACACAAACAATTACAACATAAACTTCCCTGTCCCTGCCCGTTCCCGTGCCCGTGCTCTCCCTGCCCTCCGTCCCTGCCCGTGAGCTCTGCTCTTGCTCTGGATTCCTTCTTCCCTGGTCGTCGTCGTTGCTGCTGCTGCTGCTGCGGAGGAGGACGGGGGACCCGGACGACCAAAGAGGAGGTAGGGAGGGAGGGAGAGCCATGGCCTCCACAATTGGCGTGCTTGGCTGCAAGGCGCCCCTACTCCAGGACCGCGTCTGCATTTCCAGGTGTGTGTGTATGTGTGTGCATTGTGTTTTTATAAGGTTGCCTGTCGGCGTGGTTGGTGGGTTAGCAATCCCACCCATCCATCAATCAATCGTCTGTGTCCTCGAAGAATTTGAATTAAAACCACTTTGTGGTCTTATCCCATTTGCGAGTTTGCTCTTTGCTCGTGTGAATTTGATGTGGCTCTGGGAGAGTCACTTGAATTCGCCATTGTATGGCTATGTTCAGCCTGCCGATTCCCAGAGGGGGGTGTTTGTGGTCGTTGGGTTCCAGGACAATTGAGTGCTTGAGTGTTCGAGAGAATCGAGTGTGCTTTGCGAAGAGATTCTGTGCCCCTACCCCGTTGGCGAGGATATCCACGCGATCGGTTCATCGAGACCAGTTACATCCTCTCCAGGTAATTTTTGGACCTCATATCGCAAGCGCTAGTGTTTGGGCTTCGTTTGCAAAAGTAATGGTCAGGAATTTGCTCCAGTGGTGTACATTGTAAGGAATGTGTTCTGTTTGTTGAGAGTAATTGCTTCCCCCATCCTCGGTTGCGCTGCTTCAAATGCTCCTCGCGCGGCATTTGGGATATTGTGATCCTAACTTGGTACAAAATTCTTTGTTGGATTTCTTTCATTTTTTTATTTTGGTTCTCAAGTTGTGTTCATGTTGAAGGAGAATGTTGTGCAATCTGAAGCTTACCATGTTGAAGAGCAATTTTTGTAGACCACGCAGATTAATGCCATGGGAGAGAATGCTGAGAAAAAAACTGAGGAAAAGACCGAGACGGAGGCTAAGACTGCAGAGTACAGTGCCAGCATGCAGCAAGCCATGGGTACAAGTAAGTTTCGGGGCCTATCAATCCGATTGTTCAAATTCTCTCGCAGCTATTGCCAACAACAGTGCTCACACGATTACGCGCTACACATTCATTTAGTTAAGATAATTATTTAGGCATCAAGCCTCTATGTGTAGTGCTGAATTTTGTGTTGCGTTCTGCTGAGCTTCGTTGATGCAGCACTGGAGTACAGGCATGAACTGGGGATGAATTACGCCCATGTGTTAACGGACCTCATTGTAGGGTCTTGTCTTCAGGTCGGTTCCTCAGATGTACTTCCTTATTTGAACCATTGTATGCACCAGGCACCTTCCAAGTGTCATCATATTTCTTTAAATCATACTCTGCTGATTGGTTTAGGGTTATCGAAGTCTCTGAGTTTGTAATTAGCATACTGCTGAATTTAGTGTGTTCTTAGACTCCTGCAGACGCAGATAAGCTAAAAGATGCGGGTGTTGGAGTCATATTTTGTCTACAGCAGGACCCCGATCTTGCGTATCCTTGACAATTCCTGTGTTACTTGAGCTTGTACGTACTCTTTTAGGTTTGTGTTTCTTCCTGAGGCACCGCCTTGCTGTCCAGAGATATTTGCCTTCCTTAACGTATTCTTCAGATATTTTGGGGTTGATCTTCCGGCCATCCAAGCACATGTGAAGGAGCTTGATGGGATCGATCACTATCGATGCCAGATAAGGTAGCCATTGACGCTCCGATCAAGTTGTGCATCGTCATTGTCTTTCCTAAATTTATTGAATCCATTCAACTGAAGGAGTATGAATGTTGCTAAAGTTAAGTTCTGACTTTCAATGCTGAGCAGAGACTTCGATCCGTATGATTTGCGGATGAGGTTACCAGTAGCCGTGGCTCAACTGCACAACGCTATTGAAGCACATAAGGGCAAGACCGCGTATGTGCATTGCACTGCTGGGCTTGGCCGGGCCCCTGGTGTTGCGGTGAGAGGGTCGTTCCCTTGTTCAGGCCTGTGTCAGGTTTTGATGTTTTTATATGTGTCCTTTGTTGCAGTGCATAGCTTGCAGTATTCTGAGGTCTGTCAACTGGATATGCAGCTTGCGTACATGTACTGGTTACGGGGATTATCACTCAAAGAAGCTAATGATCGTCTTCAGGTTATATTTTTTTTTTTTGTGATGTTCGAGGCAGTGCGTTGAAACTCTTTAAAACCAAGAATTGTGGCGTTTTTAAGTTATTTCCTGGTCGTAACCCCAAGATAAACCAAGAATGCCGAAAAATTGTGGACAATTACTTTTTCTCCCCTGATATGTCTCCTTTGCACCAAGAATTCATTTTGCATGGTACTATTCATAAGAAAGTGCCAGTGTTAATTAAATTGTATGTCGTAGTTCATTCTTTATAAGATTGGGTCTTTGCAATAATCAACACATCATCACTCTGTTTGCAAAATGCTTGCAGAAAGTGAGGCGCTGTCATCCAAAGCTGGAGTCTATCAAAGCTGCAACTGCTGATCTGGTTAATTTTCTACACACTCGTCTTTTTCCTTTTGTAAGCAAGATGTTTGATTCCCCTTCTTTGCGAACATGTTTATACACAGGCTATGTTCAGCTGTTAATTGTCTTAATTGTGGTAATTTGAACTCTCTTGAGTTGCCTGTCTTCTCAACTCTTGGATCAATCCACTCAACTAGATTTTATTTGCCTGGTTAGTTGACAGAGGGATCAAAGCAAGTAGTAGATCTGAAGTGGGAGGGCGGACCTAAACATGTGGAAATCGCAGGTCTTGACGTTGGTTGGGGTCAGGTATGTCCATTCATTATTGTTTTACAACTTGGTTTGTTTGTTTGATTATATACATGTATGAAAAGCGTAATTTTATACGCAACACGTGTTAAGTTTATGTGCAAAGGTTTATCTGCAGACTCGACTTCCAATGGAGTATCGTCAAAGTGAAAATCAGTGGATTCTAAGGCGGGAACTCCCGGTGAGACTTTGAGCTTATATAGAGGGGTGTAATCTGCCTTCACTATACGGGTTGTAGTTTTGGTTTACCTAGCTCTTCTATTTCACCTAATAGAGTATTAAAGATGTCCTGATCCTTAATGTGATTCTTAGGTTGGAAGGTATGAGTACAAGTTTGTTGTGGACGGCGTTTGGATGACAAACCCAGAATTGCCTTTATCTCAACCAAATAGAGAAGGCCAAGTTAACAATGTCATTGAGGTAATAATCTTGTTGTACCCTCCATTTTGAGAAAAATGCATAGCCTTTACTGCATTTCGTTGAGATCACGTCTACACAGTTGCTTGGGGAGCAGCTTCATAACATACCGAAGTTGCGGCTGCCGTCTTAGCTTCACTTAAACATGAATGCTCTCCACAAAGAAACACAACTCTCAAATATAATCGGCTCATCGCTCATGTTCTACTTCTAAGTGGAATCACAGGTTACGGACACAGCACAGAGTGGAGCGTCAAAGCAACTCCGAGAGCAGTTGATGCAAGAAGATGCAGACCTTACATCCGAGCACCGTGCCAAGATCCGTGCAAAGCTGGAAGAGATTGCGAATAGCGGGCAATGGTGAAATAATCGTCAGTCTCTCATGGACATTTTTGCAGAAATTTTGCACATCATTTTCATCATTTGTACCAGTCTTATCAACGCTAAAATGCAAGGTTCAAAGACGTCCTTGATCATCAGACAATCGTCACTCAATTGGCTTCTAGTTACTATTCCCTTCTCAGGATGCACACATTCTGAGCTCACTACTGGCGCGTTCAGATGAGGTACTTGAAGCACTACATGCATGTTCCAGTCTTGTATGCAACACTAGAGCCATTCAAGTGCACTGTTTATGGATGGAAACAAACAGTGTAGAGGCCGTCTGACAATCCGTATAGGTGATAGAATAGTTGGAGATTGCAAAATGTTAACAAAGCCTTGAGGGTGTAGTACACATTTTGGAAGTACTGTAATGTCACTCTGCCAGGGCATATGTTCAAATATCCCACCAGAAAAACATTTTGTGCTCAAATCTTGAGATGTCCATATCTTTTCCACCGAATCCCACATGTTGAGTTTGTCCATTTTATAAACCCAGCATGTATGCAATGTTGCTAGCATTCTGGTTGAAGCTTCTTATGCAAATGACCTCGTTTTTCAAACAAAACACTTAAGTTGTAGTGATAGTTACCAGTTCTATCAATGTTGGCCTTGGCTGAATCTCAAGAAACTGCGAACTTGGACAATCTTCATAAAACGCCCTCAGCTGACCAACAGAAGTGGTGCCCACGGTCAAGGCTATTAAGAGAAGCCATATCTTCAACAGACAAAGAAAAGCCGAAAATGTCCCCGTTCTCAACAATGTACTCTTGATGCACAGACTTGGGGAGCACGACTGCACACCACATATTCATCACGTCTTGAAATAGTCATGACCGTTGTGGTCACCCAGTGATGAACTCGGGAAGAAAGAACAGTCCAGAGAAACTTTTGGCAGCTGTGGAAACTCACCCATATCGTTCTGAATCCCCCACCTTAGAAGCACCTGTGCAGGAGACCGCTTACATTTGGATGCTACTCCCTGTACTGTGGAGTCCTTTAGCAGCTGCATAACCACAGAGATGATCAGACCATCAACCAAGGTCAACGCACCTCAAAATAAGAAAAAAGCGGAATTTAAAGGACAAGCTTAGTGTGAGTAGAGAGGGCATACAGAGCCAACACCCAAAGGTGAGTACGCTTGAACTACGATTCCATGGAGATTGCAGAAATTGCGCAGTTGTGTTTGTGTCAGCCAAGGGTGAACCTCCACCTGATTCACCATAGGTTTAATCTCACTGGATGATATAAGCTCGTTTAAATGCTTTTCAGTGTAGTTGCTCACTCCAATTGCCCGACATTTCCCTATATTCAACATGCTCGGCATTAGAACAGCTACTTGAATCCCGCAAACGTATAATGCACAAAGGATTAACGACTGCAGGCAACCCAAGTGTCTCATCACCTTGCTTGTAAAATTGCTCTAATGCTCTCCATGTTTCACTTCGCAACTTAGAGTTTTGAATTGATTTCCTGAATATTTGAGATGAATTAGAAATATTAATTAAAATAAAACTGCATGCTGCAAACCAAATAGTTCTGATAGTCATTTGGAGGTTGAAGAAAACAATAATCTTCATCCATGGTGATTATTGGACAAACATTTGCAGTTTGTGTGTAATAAACTTACGTGTCCAATTTGGCTGCACCTGGCCTGCATTCATCAACACCCAGATCTCATGTAAGATAACAAAAGTCCCTCAACGTAGAGAAACCCACTTGACAACCAAACTCAAGGATTGCAGTTATTATCCAACAACCCTCAATTCTAATACTTCTCGAGAAAACCAACTCAGGATATGGCTGGTTCATGGTAAAAAAGCCAAATAATTTCGTGGCACATCGAGATAATGGAATCATTAGATGTAAGGTGAACATGACTTACCAATGAATGAGGCAGAGATCCTGATAAATACAAGACGCATCGCAAGGGATTCACAAGCCACAACAAAGCAGCCAGCTATCATCAACATGTCCTTGCAATATAAGATTTTACAGAGAATACAAAGGTGTAACCTACTCTAAAAATTCCAGTTTTTAGAACATCTGACATCAATATCCTGGACAATCTCAAGACCAAGAGGACAATATCACTTTTTCTTTTTCTTTTCTCTTTCTTTTTGAGGATGTGATGACCTCTTCAAAAAACGGATTCTTTTCTCTAAAGAGACGTAAGTTTGATATGCTATAGATCAGGGGCATATCGGGGGAATTTTCTTTTACCAGATAAGACAACCCAAGGCGGTCGAGAATATTGTTCACAGCCTGGGTGGCTTTCTCAAACCTTGCAATAAACTCATTCCAGTGAGTCGTTACTGAGCATCCACTCACTGTACATAGTAATCCACAGCAAATCCTCAAAACATATAACCTTCAACCACGACGTAGGTATTTGGCAGTTTCTCTAATTCTAGCCAGATGTGCGTAATCGGCACAAACGGACGGTTCGATAGAACTCACCCTTGCTCGAAAGGGGAAACTTTACTAGTAATAAATAGACTGGCCCGTTCTATTCCAGAGCTTCGAACAGCTTCCCCTATTTCAACCTCATTTTTGTAGATGGACGCGGTATCTGTCCATATCAACTAGTGAAGTAAGTACGCATTTCCGTGAGAATGCGAACAGAATGATTGAAACCATCGTGTGGAAAACACCAGCAGATTGATTAGACATCACAGAGCTGATCAACAACGGATAGATACAAAAGCTAAAGATGAGAAGAAAAGAAGACTGAAATTACCAATATGAGTGTAGCCGCATTGGAGTGCACATAGCACAGCCTTCCTTACATTGTCGTCTCTGGCCCTAAATGTCCCCAACCCAAGACGAGGAATAAGAACTCCATTCGCAAGAGGTATGTGTGTGAGGCGCGTAGCTGAAGTGAGGATTTCTGCCATAGCTACACAGAATTGCACATCAGCGGCTGTAAAAACACACATCCAATGTGCGTAAACCAAATTTCACACACCAAGGAGCACATCAGGGGTGAATTTCTATAGCTTTGACTCATCCCCACAGACTTCGCTACAATTTAAACTCCAGTATACGCCCACTAGGGTACACCCAGACTCTACACTGCTACGCTGTAAAAAAAAACATTAGAACCATATATATGACCAAATTTGAGACAATTTCAACATAGACCAAATCACCGAGCCCATACGTCCTCATGAACAACAGGATGGATCAACGTGCACGAACGAGCCTTAAGAACTCGAACAACCTTCCAGTCCAACACACAGTGCATCAAAGCAATCCAAGCTCAGATATCGAGCGTAAGAAAGATGCACAGTAACACACCCTTACACAAGCATGCAAAGGAAACGCAACCAACTGCAATTCAGATGAATTGGAATTTGCAATTGGTGAAATTCTAGGTCGACAGTCGCAGGAAGCACGGTGATGGGAGACGAAGCGTTAAAGGGTCATTGTGAGCGGAATTGGGTCTGAAGTCGTTGCGCAGGTTTGGGTCACCGCGAATATGTAACCGTGGACACGGATATAGGGGTTGTGGTCTTCTTCCTCCCAAGGGAATGCGGGCATCGTCTCTCTTACAGTTGGAGAGGCAGCTCGCGCGAAGAGAGGTAGGGATCCGTCGTCGTTAGGCTTTGGAAATCATGAGCACGGCCGCGGTTGCAGCTAGGAGGGCGCTGCAACAGCAGCGAACCCGCGTTTTGTATCGCAAGGCTCTTCGCAATGTGCTGAGCTGGGCCGTGCATCGCGACATTTTCTATGTGGAGGTGGGTTTCTCTAGCTTCAGTGGTTGATTGTTTTTATCTCTGTGTAGGGTTGTAGTGTTAGTATCGTGAACCGCTTTCTTATTTCCATGTAGGGTATACGATGTAACCTGCTTCTTTTGGTGTACGTTGATGAGTTTGGTTGCTACTGCGCGACGGGAAGGATTTAGCTTAACCTAATCTAGATTCTAGAGCCGGCTTTCTTCTGTGTGTTCTTGATGGTTGATTTTCAGATGAATTTTTTTGGGTGCATTTCTGTACAGGCACAGAAAATGAGAGAGCAGTTTGAGATGAACAAGGATTTGGTACGCGTGATTTGCTGATCATTTTATACTTGTATGATGTTGACGATGGGTAGAATGGTGGGCTTCGTTATTGTTTTATAAATTTGACCAGCGCAAGTTTCGAGTGTTCGAAATTCTTTCCTGACGAAAGTGAATTTTCTGTGACAGTCCAATTTAGAAACTATCGACCGGTTGCTCTACGAGGGCGAGAGCCGAGTTGAAAAGTTTCAACACCCTGATCCCTACATAGGTAACGTGCTTCCATATATCACGGTTTTTTCTAAGTTGCGGATATTTTCTTTTCAAATTCCTTTCGTCGATAGTTTAGCTTCGACTTGAAGGATCATTACTGGGACTTCAAATTTTAAGCCTTGAGCGTTTAGTCTGTGAAAGGATTGGAGTTCAAAATTCTTGGTTGTTATCCTCCTCATGTGCCAGGCTCAATTAAATTAACAGTTGACTTTGTCAAAGATAGTAATGGTTTGTGGGTCTTTCTACCAGACCATGGCCCGTTGCTTTTTGTTTTAGTGATATTGTTTCACCATTAATGGGCTTCATCTCGGTTGTATGGTTTTTGATGCAGTTCCATGGGCTCCAGGAGGCTCTAAGTACGCTCGCAATCCTCCAGTACCTTCGGAGGTAATCACAGTGGTCGGATTTGAATTTTGAATCTAACCTTCTGTCTAATATCACTCCAATGCTGGTCCAATTTCTTCTAATTGCGTCGCTCAGAGGATGTCTTCTCCTAATATCCTGTAGATGCAATTTTTATACACAGATTGGCGTTGTTCTCGACTTCGGGCGGGAGGAAAACCATTAAGCTACTAGACTAAGCTTAAAACGGCTTGCAAACACGAGCCATGGATATAAAACGTGGAAAATGTGAATTCATCGCATATGCTCCGACTTAGGATGGTTTCAACTCATAACAAGAGTATCAGCATTGAGCATCTTTTGATCGTTTTGTTGTAAACCTTAGAAATGTGTTTGAATATCTGCAAGTGTCAAAGGTAGAGCTTAAGACTGGAGGGTTGTGCTTAAAGGCTGAGGAGTCTTAGTTTCATTTCAATAATAAGAAGCAACTGGATCCAAATCGTTGTTGGTCCACTTCTTTGGTGCAGATTAGTGGTTTGAGATATTTTGCGATCAACAAATTTCGTGATTGCATAGTATCTTATAATGGAATGATTCACATTATGCCGTCATGTTCGTCAAGTTTTTCTGTTTTGTAAGCAGACTCGTATGAGACGATAATCGGCTTTTTTTATAAATTAAACATTCAGAGAAAAACATTCCTACATGATACACTGTTTTTTCCATATTTACCTTTTGATGCAATTTCCTCTTGGGAACTGAAACACCATGTTGGGACATTTAGGACGGAAGCAACAACTACCAATATCTTTTCGAAGTGATTGTTAAAATTAATCTTCTTGTCTCCTCTCTTTCTCTCCCTCTCTGTCTTTCTTTTTTATTGTTCCTTTTTTACTGTTTTCGATTTTCACTTGTATGTTCCCATATCTATCTTAATAACTTGAGTCCTTTAGAAAAGTTTTCATTCTTCCCCTGAAAATTCTGCACTTCGTTTTTTAATCCTGTGGTTTTAGAACGAGCTATGAATGTAATTATAGTTGAATTAGAAATACTCGTAAAATCATATTGTCATTCTTTATTCAAAAACGATGATTACTGTTTGAATCAAAAATATTTTATAATTGTAATAGTTGATTTAAAATATTATATTTATACCGTGAAATTTTCTACCAATTGTGCATATGCATTAGCTAGCAGTGAAATAAAGTAGAACAAATAAATGAAATGGAGAAGCTTTTCTTCTAACACACTGAAGCAAAGTTAAGAGTAGATGTGATGGCAGTTTTTGCAATACATTTTGAGTGCTCTTTGTAAAAATAAAAATAAATAAATAAAATAAAATAACTAAAACTATTTTAGTATCTATAATAATATATAAACCTTAGATGTTTTATTGCAAAAGTTCAAGATATGATTCCTAACTCTGATATATAGTAAAACATATTCATAGAATTGTCATTAGTAATATATATTTTTTAAAATTTATGTAAATATATTTTTAAAATACATATTATGCTTAAAACTAAGAAAACATGATAATTTCTTTTTAAGATGCCAATGTTATATGTTTGTTTACATATGCCAAATAAGACATGTGGATTTAGTTTTTTCAATAAATTTTGAGATAACCTGAATTTTTTATTTTTGTTTTTATTTTGTATTTTGTAATGTTATTATTAATATAAATTGAATTTATGATTTAAATTTTAAATTATTGATCTAAACTTTGAATCTTTTGTTATGTTTTGTTTTGTTTTGTGCAGTTTTGTTTATTTATTTATTTTACTTCAAATTCACAATTAATTGTTTGATATATAATTCTTTTATATAAAGTATTGCAAAGTCAAATAAAAAAATCCTGATAAAAAATATGTACACAATTAAACATCAATTCTAATCAATTTACAGGATTCTATTTTTTTATAAAAGTGTTACAACCAAAATAGAAATTTTGATGAATGTTTGGTGGTAGAAGAGTTAAAAAAATAAAAAAATAAAAATTAAATGCATATATGATTTATTGTATAGTATAAAATTAAATTTTCTATTAAGTAAACAAACTTACTTGTTTTATTTAATAATTAGCAAAAACCTTAGCTGTTGGGCACTACAATATTTCGCTTATTTATCCATACTTCTTTTTTCCTATGTTTCCTTGCTCTCAAGTTCCTAAGTTCATATGTTCTATTGTTCCCTTCCTTAGTTCCCTCACTCCTATGTTTTCTTGTTATATTGTTCCCATGTTTTCTTGTTCTTTGGTTCCATGTTTTCTAATTTCCTCAAGTTTCCAAATTTATCTTCTTCACAACAAATCAAAAGACTTCTTTGTCTCTTTGTGCTATATCCAAGCTATCTTACATAACAAATTATTTGTTTGTTGTTCTTTGTCGTAACATTCTTTAGAACTTAGCAAAAATTGCTAAGTTCTAAACAATAAGTCAAATTTTATTTGATATATATATATATTATAAGGTAATTTAGGTATAAAATAAAGAAACAAAGAAGCATTTTTGATTGGATGTTGAGAAGAAAAATTAGAAAACTAAAAGAATGTGAAGTGATTGGGATTCTAAGTATCTAAAAAAAACTGAGTTTTTGGCACTCTAAGAATCATCAATAACTACTTTGTTTCCAAGATTAAGCACACTTGATTAGTTAAAATTGTGATCATATTTTCTTTTAATTGAGTTTGGATATCATATTCAATTGAAGGTATTATATATCACTTGCCAAAATAGGTCGCATTTGTTACAATATCTAGAACATTGTTGACATTTATTACAAACATGTGTATTTGGTCAAGACAAACTTCCTACATCAAAATATTTAGCTTTTAGTCTTGATATAAATAAACTCACAAAATGGTGTAAGCTCCAATCTAAACTACATCTTTGCAAAGCTCCAACTTTTGATACCACTTTACTATGCATTATTTTTTAGATGTCCTTTTGATTTTCAATGACAACACATGTGTTCTCTAGTAGGAGCTAGAAGCAAAGTAAGAAGGGGCAAAGGCTAAGAATGTCCCACCTTGGTATATGGACAAGTGGGACTTTGCATCTCAATCTGAAATTGATGCAAATTTGGAAAAATGTACACCATTTACATGCCATTTTAAAGTTCTTTAAGAACAATTTGTTACCATTTATAATTTCATCCATAGCAAGGTTTAAAAATTACCACCTCCAACTTTGTATTTGAGCATAATTTTTCTTTATTTGTATTAAATAGATAGTCTAAAAGAAAAAATATGCTAATTTTATTAGAAATAGGTTGATTCCAATGCCAAGCTAATGTCATAGCCAATGCAAATAGATTCTATATAGTTTGCAATAGATACCATAGTTGATAAAAATGACAACTTCAAAGAGCTTGATGATGGCATTCATTTTTTGGACAAGCAACCTTGCTAATTAATGACAATAAGTTTATTTAAAATAAGCACCAAAGTTTCCACTTTTCTTCTCAATAAAATATTATTTCTAAAATTGAATTTTTTAGAAAGTTAATAAAGAGGCATGCCAATTGGTAACCAAAAATAGATTTTAGAAGAAATATCAACAAAAATCAATGATATGTTTTGTCTCATCGACTACAATAATCATAAAAAATCTAAGTCACCACCAAACAACTACTACAAAGTGAACATCCTACATGGTAAAACAAGTAACAAATTTTACCAAAGGACAAGAGTCACTATAAATAATAATAATAATAATAATAATACATCATTAATCAAGTCTAGATATCATGACTCTAAATCCAATATAAAAATGATGCTTACAAAACAAGGTGATTTTGTCATAAAGCAAAAATAAAGAAATCAAGCCAACATCACATTAATTCACCCAAGGCATAGAAAATAGGCAAAATAGAACCAATACAAGCTATTCTAATAACAAAAAGATGGGATGAGAGAAGAAAAGACAAATAATGCACATGTATAGAGAGACAAGCACTATGCTCTCCAATTGCAGCAAATAAGTGATTTTGTAATTCAATGTAGGGCATTAGAAATTAAGGAGAAGAAGAGATAGAAGAGCCACAAAAGTAGAAAGAACCAAGGCAAAGCACGTATGGATGGGCAAGTAAAAAATGGTAGTACAAAAAAAAACAATAGAGATGCACTAAGAAAGAATTGTGCAAATACATACAACAAAATAAACATAATAAGTGTGCAATTAGTACATCTTTAAAGATAAATATTTTGAAGAATTAAGAAGAATCTATAAGGTTAAAAAATTTATTTATTTAACATTTGATATTAAGTAAATGTTACAAGAAAAGAAAATATCTGCCTTTCTAAGAAATATTGAGTTGGCTATAATAGGATCTAATGAAGAACATATTGACTATGAATAATATAATCATGGCTGAAGGATTTAGAGCTATAGGCAAGTCTAAGAAAAAAAAGAATAGCATCCATTTATTAGTATATTTGTTTGAACTATTAGAATTTTATTTTTTATTTTAATAGAGATGTGTTTATAGAAGTGGCCAAGTTTTGACTCAGCAGCCACAAATTAAAATTTTAATGGATTGAAAAAATTATGAATATTGACAACATGCAAGAATTGTTGAGATTGAATTTGATTACTTATATATAAGTTTGTTTGTGTAGAAACCAAGTTTTGTTCTTCTCCATACTTATTAGCCTTATTGTTTCTAAGAATGTATTTTAGTCCTTCTTTAATTGAGGCTTCCTTTGCCTATGCTCTCCTTGGCCCTAAGTTCTCAATTTAGTAGGAAGCCACATATAGATGTATGCAACATTTCTAAAAATTGTCCAAACAATTCATGGATGAAAAAAAAATAAAAATAAAATGCCATGATACAAGCATCTTTTCCAACCTAGCCATCATAATGGAGCTAATAGATCTTTGTTTGGACAATAGATCATTTTACAATAACAATGCAACTTTATCCACTTTATATTTATCTTCATGGCAGACAATGAATATAGTCATGTATAAATCATCTTTATACATTTTCAAAATAATATGCAACTCACTGAAATCAAAGAATGATTTTTGTGCTCCAAAAAGCTGTAGTAGTGTGTGTACCAACCCACCTCGTACAAGGTACTAGATGAACAAAAACCCAAATGGCAACTGTTACCAAAACATTTTAATAGACTTTCAAGCATCAACCCTAACAAATTGGTCAAATATGATTTTGTATTATTTATTCATTTATTAAAACTCTAGACCCTTAACACTGCACACCTCTTACCAATATTTCAGTGACTCCCAACAATTGAATACCTGTCAATAAATTGCTCACTCACAAAATTTGAGACAGCTAATTGACATCTATGTTTGTATACATGCATGGATAAAGGACGAATGAAGTAAAAGGAAAGAGGGCAAGCTGTTCTGTTTGTGTATCTGCTCTGCAAAATCGGCTACCAAATGTGTTGCTAAAATAATATAGTATTAAAATAACAGTTCATGAGTGGCTTGCCAGAATTAGGTTCGGCAACATCCCAGCGTGTACTGAGATGTTCGCATGTTTTCAAACTAAGTCGTGGATAAGGGAACTGCACGACATAAATGACATGTGAAGGGTGACGCAAAGCAGGGAAAAAGTACTTTTTGGGGATGGGGGAGAAATTGGGCAGGGCAGGGCAGGGGCAGGACTGGCAGCCACTGCAAATGAACACAAATCTGTCATGGAGTCTATTCAATGCTGCCCGCCTGGGCAGCTTTTCCCCCAACACCATGTTTGGATTTCCAGTTCTGGATCCAATTGAAGATGACAAGGCACCCTGTCCGGAAGTTTCTGTCTGGGCAGCCTTGCCCCTTCAGTCCTCTGCCACGTAGGATAATGAACCGTGCCAGGCCAAAGACTGTGTTGGATGAACAATCTCGGATGAACGTCTCATTCGCCTTGTGGCGATTCGCACTACATGGATGAGTGTTGCAGAGAGTGTCTGTCTGCATTCGCACCTGACTCCTCCCCGATTGTGCATAACCGCCTCGCGGAAGGGGGTTCGGGTGTCAATGATTTGCAGGTCATGGCTTTCTTCCCCGGGTAGGGGGCAGGCATAGGGCCGGGAAGTGGGCTAGCAGCGCTGTAGCGAAAGTCGGGGTGTTTTGAATTCGAGGCTCGTTGAAGCGGAAGGGAAGTGTGATGAGTCGAACTGAGAGGAGGTGTTGTTAGGTTTTCACCTGTGATCGGTCCTCTTAGCTCTGTTGTTGCTTTAGGACCCGTCGTTGTTCGAGAGGACGAGTGTTGAGAGTTTTAGGGGAGGAGTTTTGGTGTCTTGTGGAGAGAATGGTGAGTGTTGGAAGGGGTTTTGGAGATTGAAGACGGTGAAGCGGGGGAAGGAACGATGGTGAGTGTGCAAGGAAAGTGGACAGGCTTTGCTTTCTCGATTTGAATTGCTCGTTGCGTTGGATTCGGAGGGAGAAGAGCTGCGGGGGAATGCAGTAGCTCTGGTAGTGACCTTTGTGTGGTTGGCTATTGCTGGGAGAAAAGAGGAAGGGAGAGTGAGTTTTGCTCATGAGGTTTGATTTAGATGGCTATAGAATATAGGTTGCATGGACAGGGTGGAAAATAGGATTGGATCCTTTCCTGTGACAGAAAAGAAACTGCGTTTGGGGCACATGAACAATGGCGGAGAATAAAGACGACGCCGATTCCGAATCGGTTTAGGACTGTGAGGTTTTTTGTATAGTTGGGGGAATGCCCGTACAGGAGAATTTTCTTGCCAGTTAACTCAAGGTTGAGAAACGATGAGATCAACTTCGCCCTCTGCTTCTCCGTCCTCGTCACGTAATCGACCCCCGTCCAAGGAACATGCAGCCGTGCTTGAAGGCTTGGCCCGCCTCTCCACGGACGAGTTCAATGAAAAGCCTTTTACCGGGCTTGTAATATGCGTGACTGGACTCTCGAAAGGTGACGATTTACTATCTCCTTCAACTCAGCTTGAAATCCATCTAAGCCCTTGAGTTCTAGCTGTTAGGCTCATTATGGTTCCTCTATTACATCATATGCTTCTGCCACTCTTATGATCTTAATTATGTCTGAATGCTTTCGTTTTGTCCTTAGTTTTATTCGATAAAGTTCAATTGTGGTTAGAAGTACAGGCTGAAGTGTGCAAGCTAGTATACTGGATGCCTGTCTTGGAATACCTGCCACAACACTCAGATTCCATATTCCTATAAATTAAATATAATTAGATGTCATTCACGAGAGTTTTAGTCATGTTTTAATTCACTGTGCCTTGGTCTAACTGAAGTGAACAGTTCAGTATCCTGCATTCACTTTATTTATGTTTCCGATAATGATGCATACTGAAGGAGCACACTTATTTTTCTCTGGAGTGCAGAGGCTCGCAAACAGGTGCAGATGATGACTGAGCGCATGGGTGGCCAGTACAGCCCAGATCTTCACGTCAACTGTACTCATCTAGTTGTCCAAATATCCTTTTCAAAATCCTGTTCTGAAATCAAGGCTCGTAACTGCAGAGAATATGTGATGTGGATGAAGTGATATGCTTGCAGTCCATATTGTCAGTTGTATATATAGAAGGCAACAGTTTGAATTTGGGCAACAAATAGATACGCGTAGTACAGTTCGTTAGAGCTTTTCACTTGCTTATCTTGGAAGTTAGAAGGTTCCTTGACTACATGCACAGCTGCAGCGGGCGAAAGTTTGAACATGCTCTGAAGCATGGATTGCACAGGGGTTTATATGTTGTCACATTGCCATGGTTCTTAAATTCTGCAAAACAATATGGTATGTCCTGACAGGCTCTCTCTGATCTTGCTTTTTCTTTCACTCTGATTCTTTTCCCAAATACTCTGGCATAAAAATTTAAACATTGGATCTGATCTGTGCCACTCATTTTTGAGTTTAAGTGTTAATTATTTGTGGTTGTTTCATAGATATTTACATATCCCTGATATATGATGATGGAAGTAATCCAGATACTCAGTAGTATCACGACCACTTGTTACACAATTGTTGTACTAAATCTTTGACGATCTCCTTGGCAGAGCGCTTAGACGAATCCTTGTACAGTGTACAAAAGAGTATCGCTGATGCAATTACTTCTGAAAATATATCCGATACCATTGCCAGTAGCAGCTGGCAAAATTCATGCATGCCAGCTACTTGTGACCTGGGGTCTGCGTACAGACAGAACAACTCCGTTTCGAAACCAAGGAGCTCTGGAGGGTCTGTAAAGACTTCAGCAAGCACGCCTCGCACTCCGCATTCCACTCATACAATCCATGCCTCGAATTCAAATACTGCCCTTTCAGGTGCTCGGTTTTACGTAGATCCGGATCTACCAGATGACTTGCAAGCCAAGGTGGCTAGACTCTGTTCTCTACCTCCTATTGAGCATATTATTGGATTGTTTAAGTTTATGTTAGTGTTTTTATTTTTCAATTATCTATTTCTGCTGTTCTTGTCTTCCTCTCCTTTGTATTTGATCAGTTTATTTGCTATGTTGTCTGATCCAGTGGAATTGTTTTAGGAAATACTAGAAGCTGAGCCAGAATCCATCTTATGGTATCCTATAACCTTTAGGATTGATACTTCCAGGTGCAAGAAGCAGTTGAGTCTTGGGGCGCAACATGTGTGGAATTATGGTCCAAGAACAATAACACAACTCATGTTGTGTGTGATCCCAACTCACTTTCCAAGTATATCGGCCTCAATCTTCATCTTGTCTCTGTAAGCAAACCCTCCTATATGTGTTGTTCAGGAAACTTCGAGGAGAATGCTTCAATTTCATCTGATAATGAAGTTGATAAATGTTTTCTTATATATATATATATATATATATATTTACACATGTTTTATATCCTTTGATTACATTCTGTGACTAGTTTGTTCTTATTGGACATTCTCTGCGGTTAATGTATGTTATCTTAAAGTGAAGTTAACTGCTGAACTGAAGAGGCTCTTTGATTCTGTTAAGTTAAATTGAAAGCTTCACCTTCCTGCAACGCATGAAGTTGTTAGACCCCGAGAGCAGCCGCTCGTTTTCTATTCAAACCGAAAGTTGTGATTTCATCTTAAAAGGTTTAGATCACTCTTGTTATATTTTTTTGCTGCATCGGGAATTTTCCTGGAATATACTGATGCCGAAGGTATTTACAATGTTCTGGCAGCCTATGTGGGTTCTTTCTGCAAGAGATGGCTTCCCATTACGATGTGTTCAATACTCAGCAGATCTTGCGAGAAATGTGGCTGACCTTCTATCTGTAAAGGAAAATGGTACCCTGCCTAAGGTTAGTTGCATGTGTTTCCTATTTCTCATCTTCAAATTAATGAAAGTGTATTCATGTACAGAATTTTCTTTTGCTGCTCAACAAACTATATGGGGTGTAGAATTGTTTGCTGTGCGAGTACTGTTTCACTGTAGGAATCTGTGTATGCTCTTTCTCAGGGTTCTATCAATACCTGTGGAAGACCTGGCAATGCCAGAGTAGCTGATTCTCACTTGCAAGATCGACAAGAGAAGGCCACTGCAGCGAAGGCAGGAGTGCGCCGAAGACGAGGTCCTCGTATGCAGGTGAACTCTAAAATACTATTTTGAGCCGAATTCTTAGACTTTCCTGCGGCCCTGTGAATGGAATTCTAGAAGAATGTTGTACAAATTTATTCGTGATTTGTCACATGCTTATGCACTTCTGATTAGCGTGTTGATTTATTTGCAGTTTAAATCTGTTCTGGATAGAAATTTCTCTGCATGCATTGTTTTATCTGATATACATGTAATCTGCCTTATGATGTTGATGCAGCCCTGTAGGACGCTTCCTCGACCAATCACACCAACTACCCTTTTAGACTCCATATGTTGGGTAGTGACAGACACACCATCTGCTGCAGAAGTATATACAGATAGCTCAGGCAAGGCTTCTTTTGAAAATGATGAAGCGAAGAATGGTTATGAAGATGACAATGGTCAGTACCGGGATCCTGGAAACAAAGTCTCTGACAAGGAATTTTACACAAGGCTTTTGAGCGAAAGGTAAGTTAACCAGTAGAATAATGATGTTTCTTTAATGCCTGAATATGGCTCCTGTTTCTTTTGGGTGAATAGTAGAGTTGTTGCGTATTAGTTAAGAGTGGTGGATGTCGTGTCGGAATCGAAAACGGGAATTGTTAGTTTTTCATTTTTGTGGCTTCCTTTGTGAACGTAGCCTCGATCTGATTTGAAATATATATTTTTACTTTTTCAAATATCTTGAAAAAAAACAAAACGTTTTTTATTTACAAAATTGGAGTCTTTGTATCAATTAACAGTTTCTTTTTTTTTCTTTTTTTTCTTTTTTTTTTTTGTAGTGAAAAGCGGGAGATTGTGTTCAGAGGTGCCTTTTTGACGATATTATTTCCTATTGACCGTTTTTCTGAGCTGGGTCCATCTTCGCGGACATTTTTTAGCGAGGGAGGGTTCTCCAGAGAGAAAATTATTGAGTTGATTCATTCATTTTATCAGGTAAATCTTTGCAGCTCTATCTTAGCAATATGTACGATATTTGCCGGTCTTTCAGGTACTATTTTACCTATGAAGTCGTCTACCAGAGTTTCTGCATGTTCGTAACTATACTGGCATTGAATCTGGTTGTAATTAAACATCCTTGTTGTAGCTACTGAGTTCGATTGTGGGCGTTCGTGCCCCGAAAGGAACCTAATTATTTTTGGTACTTTTTTCAAATTTTTCATTTTTTCTTATTCTTGGTAATGTTTTGTGCTATTGAAAAGGAATATATGTCACCTGATGAGATCGATGCTGCGATTCACACGGACTCCAAGCATGCCGATCGTCTGCGGACAGCATACTCTTCTGAAGAGGTTGACGAGCTTGGTTATGTCCCAATACTGCGGTCTGAGTTTCTCGGCAGTCGGCGGCAGTTCGAAGGGTTGAAAAGAATTGGACAGGAACAAACCAGTCATATTTATGATCTCTGGCTGGGCTCTTGAAGATATTGACTTTATCACGTTCATACTTTTCTATTGCAATGGAAAGTGATTCTGCTGGGAGGCTCCACATGCAGATACTTCCCTCCAAAGACAGGGTTATGTTACGTCTCCAGGACTGAAATAAAATCACTCATTACAATTAGGAAACGCAATCGTATTGCATTGACTCCAAAATCTCTCAATCTATCTCCAGATTCTACGGCTTGAGTTCTAGATAGAGAAAACATGAGTGGAAATAAAAATCTATACCCGAGATGCCAAAACTCGATATCTTTTGGATCTGTCCTTTGATGTTGCATCTCTTGCTGGAGTTGGACCTTTAAATGTATGTACTCTAGATCGGCAGGAATATTATTATCGTTAACATTTGTCGATAAGGTGACGTAGTGTTCGTGTGAGCTTCCTCGAAAATCTTAGTGTCCAACTGAGAATCGATCTGCCTTGTTTTCATGAGATATTGACAGTGTCGTCGTGAAGAGATGAACGACTGTTTCTGTTAGAGATGTGGTGAATCCATTGGAAAAATGTATGTGTGTATGTGTATATATTTGTTATATCACATGTAACTATAGGCAATATTCATCATGTAATAGTTTAATTTTTTTACAATGCAGAACCCAATAAATGTCATTAGCTGGGAAGAGCAATATCCAATGCCAATAGAATTAAAGGAACCAACAGGCAAACTAGTTATGACCACTGGGTTGGTGGCACAGGCTAGGAACAATATACTCGAAGTTAGATTGTCTCTAGTGAAAAGGATTGTTTTTATCAGCGATTTTCACAGTGGAATTGTATAACAATTTTCTATTCGAAGGGTTTTTAACATCTGAAACTATTGTAGGACAAGATTATATTTTGTTGATTTCATTTCCAAAATCAAACTTTTTAAAACAATGCCAAATAAAATAAAATGAGTTTGTTTAATTTTTCATTGTCTATTCCTTGTTTAGATTCTTTATTTGTATATGTAAATAGTTTAGATTGGAGGGAATAGTTTGAATATGTTGACAGGTGTTACAGGAAATATATAGATGGCCATTAAGAACTTCTAAAGTTGGCAATTAAAGAAGATGAGTTTTTGAAATAGATGTTCATTAAATTTAACCAAATTCTTTTTGGGTAAACTCAATTTTTTTCAGTCTATTAGCACTAGATGCAAATGGATGGTGAGTACAACATATGAGAGGGTGGGGTGATAAGTGTAGTCCAAGAGAGGGTGGAATAGCTTAAAACAAAATCCAAATTCTAAAAATATGAAAGTGTAAAATTTAGATTTCTGGTATTTAGGAGAATTGAAACCAAGAGCTTTGGGCTCAAAAAATGACATCTACCTCCAAATCTACCCTTTGTTGTATTTAAAATTTGAAGGAAACAAAATGATATTTGCCTAAACTAATCCCTTCTTTATTATATATTTGCTACCCTAGAGCAACAAACAAGCAAGGGATAAGGAACAAAGATCAAGTGTACTAAATCTAGTGGATGATAATTTGTTGTAAAGAAATCATTAATGGAACTTGGTCTAGGAGTTATTATAAAGAAGCATGTATGGATGAACTTGGTTGTGGTGACATAAATATGTCTTTTTGATTTTTTTTTTTTAAATTGCAAAATAATGTTGAAAAATAAAGCCCTCCAAATATATACATAAATATTTATAAAGAATTGAATCAAAAAATTTAAGTATTCTAATTTAAAGTACATAATTATTAAGTTTCTCCTTTTGTAAGTTATTGATATTTAACTTAATTTTAGAGGCATTAGAATAAAAAAATTAATACATTTTTAAAAAAATTTAGGTGTAAAGTTAAGAGTTAATACATTGATGGAGGCAAAGTATATTAAAATTGACCAAGCAAGGATTAAAAGCATATTGTATTAAGGATATTGATAATGCCATTATAGTTTTTGCTATTGCTACCACAACATGCCATCTATTCAAATAATTTCTTTGGTTTTTTTTTTTCCAATAAAAAATTCTATAAATATTTTTGATATGATATTTTAAAAAATAATATAAAAATTTAAATTATTTAAAAAATAAAAATGATTTGATTAGAATTTTAAATAATTTATTATTATTTAAAATATGATAAAACTATATAAATATATAAAGATAAATATAAATAATTAAATAAAATTTTAAAATATGTATTTTAATTTAGCATTGAGAAAGGATGTAGGTGGTATGTGTGGTGGATGATAAGTTGTGGTGGCATTAGCAAAAACTATGGTGGCACTAATGATACCTTAAAGTGAATCCTACTAGCACTTGTAGCAATATCTATGCACACCACTTATTTTTCATCTTCAAATTAACCAATCAAATACTTATAATTAATCTTACTTATAAACTTGATTTTTATTATCATATTTATAATAGATTTTTTTAATATATTTTTATTCAATAAGTGATAAAATGAACCTTAATTTTTTTGATTTTATAAGTGTTTTATTAATTCTACACAAAATCTTTATTTTAATAGGTTATTATTTTTTATATATTCACTAAAGAATTCTGTATCTTTTTCAAATATTTATGAAAAGGATTTTTTTAAAAAAACATTTGCTAATTGTTTCAAAATGATCTAATTAGAAATTTTAAGTTAATATCAATATAGAGAAAGATTATTATTTTTCTTCAAAAGAAATAATATCTACGATTAATCATAAAAGATATAAATATATATATATATATATATATATATACACATATTCCAACAAAAGACTTGCATGTATTAAAAAACAAGTTTTAGTTTATGATACTAAAAACAGCTACTTTTAAAGACATATTTTATATGTTAAGGATTTTATTTACAATGTTTTGAAGCTCTTGGCAAGTTGACATTTCCATTGATAAAATACAGAATGATTACTAATTTTTATTTTTAAAGATCACTCTCTTCTAGAATTAAATTAAATTAATCTAAATTTCATAATTGATATTATAGAAATTTTATTTATATAATTTATAAAATAATATTTAACAAAAATTATGTTTAAAAATGGGCTTTCTTTTTAGCATTTAGATGCTAGCTAAAGTATTGCTTCTCAATGGCATAAACCATGATTAACTAACGTATTTCTGAAGGAATGATCAAGTTTGAAGAGCCTAGGTAAAATTTCGAGATAATTTTGATATTAATTCTTATTCTGATTGATTTATCAAATTTATCACAATCATTTTTAATAATCTTAAGCAACTCCAAACTGGCTCCTTAGTCTAGAACATGTAAATAAATCTTAAATCTTTAACCTATCATATTTTTCATAAATGATTTTGTATTTTTTCTTTAAAAACCTCAATATTTTAGAGATTTTCAACAATTGATTTTATGTTAATAAGTTACTCACAAAATCTGAAGCAACTACCCAACATCAATGCCTGCTTCAAATTTAACAAACATACTATGAAAAATACAACGTATATTTTGAAGTATTTTCGACTTATTATTATTATTATTATAAATTTACAATATATAGTATTAATATAACCTTATATTCACTATAAGGTTATTTTATCTACAAAAGGTTATTCACTTAAAGAGCCACAAATTTTTATGGTCCAAATCCAATCTTGAGTTCTTAAGTAAACTTTTGAATTTCGAAGGTAATTAAGGTAGATTTCAGATGTTGAGGATAAAAGCCAACCTAGTCCTTTCAAATGTATTATTGTCGGATTAATTTAGTACAATCTAATGATTTTTAAATCAGGCGCACCAGGTTTCAGTCATGGTCTATAAATTTGTGGCCTAGTTAATGGTGAATGTTGACCATAATTAGTTATTTTTACTACGTTTTATAGGCCCTGAAAATAATAAAACTAATTCTCTTTCTTCCAAACTTCTTTCTAAGACCAACTTCTTTTATATATGTATATTTTTTCTTCTAAGTAGTAGTTCTTCTACTTAAAGTTATTTGTTTTGGCTAAAGATAACACTTTCAATACTACATGTTCTTATTGTGAATATGAGCCATATCACATAGATTGCCAGATTCTTTAACTAGTGGTAACTTAAGTAAAATTTTGATATAGTTTTATTTTTATTCAAATAAACTTTCATATATTTTAAAAAATTATTAAAGTTTTATAGAATATAAAAAATTAACATTTTTATGTGCTTGTCTTATATTTGAATATGTAATTTTTCTAATAGTTTATTAATTAGGTTTGCTAATTCTACTTTTATGTGTTATTCATTTAGATTTTTATTTTTTTAATAAAAAATAATAGTTTAAGATTTTTGTTTTTATTTTCTAAAATTTCAACACGAGCTTGAAGGCTTTAATGCCATTAATTAGTGGTTTATATTAGCTTAAAAGATTATTTGATATTTTTATTAAGTGATGTTTTTATACAGATATAATTTATTCTTTAATCCAAATTATATAGTAGTTTTAATTAAGGATTAGTTAAAATAGTGGTGAGATTAAAAAAATAATTAAAAAGAAAAAATAATAACTTTATTAAATTTATTATTCAAATATGATATAATAAAAAATAAAAATAAAATTATAATTTTTTTATCAGTTATTTTATCTTCTTAATAATACCAAAAACTTATATAAAAAAACTTATAATAAAGTGGTTATGAAAAAATAAAAAATCAAAGACATAAAAGACATAAGGAAGATAATTACAACTTTCTTTAAGGATAACTTGTTTAAGTTGTCAAAGGTTTAAGTCTCACTAAGATTCACAAGTAGTATAAAAACTTGTCATAGAGAGTCTTTAAGGCCTTATTCTTATCTTTCTCTATAATTCTAAGATTCTATAATCTACATAGATTCAAATTAATATTGATTGTAACTTTTGTTGTAATATTTTTAAATTTATATTATTAAATTAAGATTGATTACCACACTTTGATAATTTTTTATATCCATAATAAAAAATTAAATAAATTCAATGATATATCAAATTCATAAACTATCAATAATTTAAATTTTTTTTGGGATATTTTTTTTTCTTCTATTAATAATATTATTTAATTTTTAAATAAAATAATCATAATTAAAAAAATATACTTTGGATTTAAAAATTAAAGATCAAATATTACAAAAATAAATAATTGATATAAAATTTATCTAAATTAAGCAATAAAATGGATATTTATTGTATTTATGAAACTAAAATTAAATTGAAGTTAATAGAGATATATTATGTAGATAATAAATTTATTAAAAAAATAAAAAAGAATAATTTTAGGTGAAATTTATTCCTTATATTCTTTTTGGTATGCCATATGTCTTTTGAAACTTATTTTATAACTTTACTTGTAAAATTTTTCTTTGGCAATAACTTACAACTTAATATTTAGGCCAAAAGTCTAATATTCAAAAAAAATTGATAGTTGGCTTCACTAATAGGAAAGAGATTTGAATCAATAGAGTTTGAACAATAGAAAGATTTAGACCAATATGGTTTAGATAATAAATAGATTTAAACTAATAAGGTCCAAACATTAGAAGGTAAGTTGGATATACCTATTTTATGTAAGAAATAGACACCTAAGTTAGATCTAATTATAATATGAGAATATTTAGCATATAACAAAAAATGACTAAGAGCTAGTAATTAATTGGAGTAGTAATTGGAGTAGTGTAAGTAATCTCTATGACTAATTTTGGCCACAATCCAATTTTTGCCATTATTGATCTTATTTATTTTAGAATTCTATTTTTTGATCTATATAAGTCCTTGCCATTTTTTTTTTTTTTTTTTTTTTTTTTTTTTATATTGAAGTTGACTTTTATGTAATTTTGCTTATACTAGTAGTTGATGCAAAATTCCTCTTGAAATGGATTTGAACTACAACTTAGTAATTTGGACATAAAAAAAAATATTATTTAGATTTAGTGTTTTTAGATTAATATTCAATATGAGAAAATAATCCAATAATGATTGAAAGTAGTCACAAATCTTTTCCAAACTAAAGTTGAATTTGAAATAAAATTCCAACATATTAGATTTTAAACCAACATGTTTTTAAAATATTAGAATTTGAATCTTAGACTTACTAAAGGAATAAGAAAATTTAGACCTTAGACAATAAATCTTTGTATTATTTTTTTTTAGTAATGCATATTATCAATCAAAATAGTTTGATGATTTAATAAAAAATTAATTAATGAAAAAAATAATGTTAACATCTCTCAACTCTACCATAGGTTTAAAGTTCAAAAACCACAAGTTAAATTGCAACAATTGCATAAATGGCTGACTACAACATTGTATTAAGTGAAGACTATTACTACCTACTCATTTGCTCTTGCACTTCTATGTTTGAAACTACTCTTAATCAATAGACTTTGGACCATAACAATATTAATTTGGTCAAAGAGCTTCCAATATTATGCACAAATCATGATCTTACATCATCAATTATATATATATATATATATATATATATATATATCTTCATTAATTGTAAACTTTATAGTAGTATTTTCCATCTTACTTTTGAGATACTTAGTAGTCCATTCTATCCAAATATATTCTTTACCAATCTCTTATACATCTTATTTTTTTTATGCAATTTACTTTAAAAATAAGCTTTTTGCCAACTGTTATTTAAATTTAGGATTTCTTGTATATATTTGCATTCCGATAGTTGGTTTTCTACATATCACCTTATTCAACTACTTATGCTCTACAAAACAAGCCAAAGATGGATTATTTAAACCATGCTTAATTTTGGTTATTCTTGCATTCAATGTCTTATATGCACAATATCATGACTAAAACAAAACCAACAATACTTAATTAACATGCTTCCAAATTTTGACTATTCAGTATAAATAAGCTATAAATATACCTTCTTATAATCTAATAATAATTGTAGCTATTTTTTTTTCAGAATCAAATTCCATCTCATCTAAATTGCAATAATTGCCAATAATTTTCATATATCTTATGTAAGTCCTTTAAGTATTATACTCATTCATGTTGTCTACTTTAAAATCCAAATCTTAATAATTTTATATATGCTACTTGCTACCAATAAATATCCATTTTCTTGCAAGACTCTTTTCTTATCAATGCAATAAGTGAAAGCTATTGCCACTACTACATTTGCCGAATAACTTAAAACAAGGCCAATCCAACTTTGGTTGGTCCATCACTAAAATCACAAACATACAATTAGACAACTAAAGACAATTTGCTTATTTAAAATCCTCATTAACTTTTAAGCTTAAATATACTCTAATTAGCATCTATAATTTTGTAACTTAGTCTTTTTGTAATATTTTTCAAATCTTTGCACTAATATTCTAAATATGCTGGTCCTCGAATACCAAAGAGAAACCATTGAATATTCGTACTTCTAAAAAATCAATTTTATCAAATATAAATAAAAAAATTGAATTCTACAATAAAAAGATTATCTAAAAAAATATTCATAAGTCAATCTCATATCTATAATAAAATATCATACTACAAAGCTAAGACATCATCATGTATAAAATACTTTTGTTAATATTGACTTCTTTCAATTGACTTGATGAAAAATTTCAAGTTGTGTTAAAATTCTTACTTCATTCCATTTTGTAGTAAGGTTGTAATAGTTGCCTCACTTAATTTGATTTGATACTTTTTCACGAACCCATTTTCATCTTCATCCAAATGTTAGAAATATCTTTAAATAGATCATTGCAATCCCAAGGAACATATTTGTCTTGGCATACTATAAGATTTGATACAATTTCCAAAGAGACATGAAGCTTGGTAATAGATGTGCTTTCCCAAATTTATAGGCCTTGCAAAGTTGTCAAAACCCCCATTGGTTCTATACTTCCACAATCTCATATTTGCAATTCATGAAGATATTTGAGTTATGTAATGGAAGTTGGAAGCTTTTGTAAATTCTTGCATGTCTTTAACTTTAGCCTCCTAAGTTGTGTTAATTGGCTAATAGCTCTTGATAGCTTTTTAATAGGACACTCTTCAATAAATAATTCTATCAAACTCTTGATCTTATCCAAAGTTTTTGGCAACCTCTTTAAACTATTACACCTCCACAAATTCAATATTTGGACCATATTGACATCACCTATTGAATTTGGAAGGTTTTGGAGGCTTCTATTAAGTGATATTTTCAAATTCCAAAGACACTTTAAGAACCCAATCGATTCTAGGATATCAATGAGAGTCTTGCAATGGCTTATTTTAAGAAACATCAAGTTTTGAAATGTTCTATAGTTGAAAAGAGATCCAAATCTTTTACAATTATATAAACTCAAATATGATAACATTGTCCAAACTTCTCCAAAACCATTTGAAAATTTTAGATAATTTGATGTGCCTCCAATACTTAGATTCTCTAAACTTGATAAAAGCCCAATAGAAAGTAGAATTTTCATAAGAAAAGGACAATGGTTTATATATAGTTGATTCAAATTTGACAAGGCACCTATAGAATTTGGCAAAGCTTTTAAATGCTAGCATTCACTAAGAGAGAGTTTCTTGAGTGCTTTGAGGTGTCTAATAGAAGCTGACAAAGCTCTTAGAATGGAACATCTACTAAGCTTAAGAGACTCAAGTGCTTTAAGTTGCCTAATTGATTTTGGGAGCTCTACCAATCTTTTGCAACTCTAGACATTGTAGTTGCATTGCATTTCCAATAGAATCTGGTATATAATTGATGGATGTACATCCATTCAAATAGAGTTGAAGCAAATTGGGACAAATCTGAAACAACAAAAAGAATATCAAATTGTAATTTTCGTCAAAAATTGATTAAATTATTCATCATATCATACAAGGATCAATGCTTAATGAAACCTATTTCAAAACTATGAAAACTAAAAAAATGGTATCCAAGTTGAATAGAAGTTGAGCATACAATATAAAAAAGAAGAATTGAAAGATTTAATGCTTAAGTATTCATAATTGATTATTGAGTATAAAAACCAATGTTATAATTTGATCAATAGTGTAGAACATTATTTTTAATTAAATCATTTAATTCATTTTAGTATTTAAGAGTATCTTTTCAATTCAAATTATATTTAAATTAATGTATAAAAAAATTTTAAAAACTAAAAAGATCATAACAAATCATAATTTATAAGTTCTTGAATTGATGTTAATAATAATCATACCTCCTAATGTATAATTTTTAATATAATAAATAAAAAATATATATTGCTTCACTTAACATTATGCTCTTTCAACATCATCCTACATTATCCTATATGAAAAGATTAAGTAAGAATTTTATGTCAAGAAAGAACCTCCCAATTGCCTTCTGATTCTGTCCACAAATAGGCTAGCTTGGTACTTTTCGAAAAATCAAGTGTCATCAAATGAGATGTGTTTAGTCCCTCAGGTAGGTGATCAAATGACATACTCCTCCATTGTAGCCACCGAAATTTTTTCGACATGCATCGAAATCCACCATACACATTACAATCATCTGGCAACACAAGGAAATGCAAATTTGGAATATTTGCAAAATCCTCAGTTTCAAACTTTCGCTTCCGACTTCCTGCCAAATTTAGTGCCATCGTCTTCTCTGTTCCCTACAAAATAAAAATAAAAGCCATGTATTCTTAAGAAATCAAAAGTCATTCAACCAGATTTTTTTAAGCAATCATCACTATTTGTACATGTATTTTTAATTAACAATTAGACATGTAAATTCATAGCTTACTCGATTCTTCCTGATTATTGCTTCTGCAATAATATCATTGACAAAATGAGTTTCAGCGTTCTTTGCAATGTCTTGACCCAAATCTCGTAACAAATCATGCACTTCTAGACGCGGGACAAGAAAAAAGGTCCACCACCACCACCGCCAAATTTTTGCTGAAAAGATTTCGTAACGAAAGGTCGAGACACTGTACACCACCACACGACGCACAATCTTCACAACTTTTCCAGTATGGTTTGGCCTCCTTCAATGGCCGACCATAGAAGAGACATGTGATATCGACAAACATGTGCTTCTCAGATTCAGTGAGGATGTCATAGCTCCATCTCAATACATCCATGACATCTCCACTTTGCCTCAATGCACGCACTGCTTCCGGCCATATCCTTTCTCGATCTCTATCCGCTGTTCTGTTGCACAAGCTCGATCCAAACACCTTCAGTGCAAGCGGCAAACCTCCACACGATTTCACAATATCCTCAGCTAGCTCTCTATAGTCTTCTGGAGCTTCCTCAGCTTGAAATGCATGCCAATTGAAAAGCTTATTGGAATTACTTGGGCCGAGTTTAGAGACCATAAACAAACGGCGAACAACTGAACCTGCTCTTCCTGCAATATTGTTGAAAATGCTTCCATCGCGAGATGTGATGATGATGCGACTGCCTGCATGGAGGTCCTTTGCGAAAGGTATAATAAACTCAAACTGGCCTATCTTGTGAACACCATCAAGCACAATCAATACAGGCCCCATGGTGGATGCTTTCCGAAACCAAGATATGTAATCGTTTGAAGTACTCATCTGTACCCGGAGAAGATCCCACAACACTTGCTTCCGTGACTTCCTTGACCACATGGGCCTAACTTGCACATTTGACTTGTCCAGATCGATCTCCAGATAAGTCATGTGCCTAAACTTCTTCTGGGCAGCACAACAATTGTATATTTCCTTTGCAAGTGTCGCCTTCCCGACAAGGTGTAAATTCATAGCTTACTCGATTCTTCCTGATTATTGCTTCTGCAATAATATCATTGACAAAATGAGTTTCAGCGTTCTTTGCAATGTCTTGACCCAAATCTCGTAACAAATCATGCACTTCTAGACGCGGGACAAGAAAAAAGGTCCACCACCACCACCGCCAAATTTTTGCTGAAAAGATTTCGTAACGAAAGGTCGAGACACTGTACACCACCACACGACGCACAATCTTCACAACTTTTCCAGTATGGTTTGGCCTCCTTCAATGGCCGACCATAGAAGAGACATGTGATATCGACAAACATGTGCTTCTCAGATTCAGTGAGGATGTCATAGCTCCATCTCAATACATCCATGACATCTCCACTTTGCCTCAATGCACGCTTGAGTTATCTTTAGAGCATTAAATGTAGGTGGCACCCTCCATAATATTTACTGTAGTTTATAGTAAATACTGTAGCTATAGTATTTGGAATGTAGTAGAGAGGAACTGTTTATCATCTCCCCTTCTCCTTTTGTATACATGCCACAACTAGATCAATAGACTAGTGTGTGTGAAGCTCTCTCTCTTTAGAAACTCTCTTGTGTGTGTATATTACTTACTACTACTCTTGTGTCTTTCTAAACATTCTCAACATGTTATCAGCAAGACTCTCTTCTACACACTATTGCAATTTTCTTTGCTCTAGTCTTGTCTCTTCAAACTTACTGTTACTCTTGCTCCCCTTCTGACTCATGATCTTGCTGCACTTCTTGCTAGCCCCTCACACACTAGTTGCTTGCTCAGAGCACTTCCTCCAATTTGTGCCTTGCTTGCTTAGAATACTTGCTACACCTTAGCCTCCCTATTGTGCCTCGCACCTACCGCCAAACAATTGCCAAATTGGTATCAAATAGTCACCGCTGCTTGCCGCCAACCTTGCTGTCGATCCTACCACAGATATCATCATGTTGTCGTCGTTGACTGCAAAACAACCGCCAACCCCATCGCTAACTGCCGATGCTACTGACCGCCAACTACTGCCGACCCTACCGCTGATACTGTCGCCGTCCTATCGTTCTCGCCCTATTGCCACCGTCTTGCTGCTGCTTTGCTATCATAATCCACAACTTTGTTATATATATATATATATATATTAATATTTTTGATTTCAAGTTTAAGTTTATCATTCTATTTGACTTTATATTTTAAGATACATTTTATTCAACTTTTCTACTTAATCTTGTATTTTCTTTACAAATTTACTTATAATGAGTGCTTCAACATCTTCAATTGCTTTTATTATGGTTCCAACTATTACCAATGCATCCCAATATTTTTAAGCTCTTTTATTTCCACCATTGATTGTAGATGGAAACAATTATCTATTATGGGCAAAAATAGCAAAAGCATATTTATTTGCAGAACAACTCTCGGATGCCATTATGTTTGAAGAATCTCCTACAATAAGTATTTTTATTCCTCTTGCTATCCATTGGAAAGCACTTCTATTCTTTCGTCGTCATCTTGTACTTGCATTACAACATTAATATTTGAAAATGGAAGATCCTACAGAACTTTGGAAGAATCTTAAATCTAGGTTTGATCATCAAAAGATCATTTTCCGAGATGTGCATATCAATAGTTATCACCTCTTGACCGCCATTTTAAATAGAAAAGAGGTTTTGGTTCTTACGAAGAACCATAAAGTTGTTGAAAAAGCTTTTGCTACCAAAAATGGTTTATACCAAATTGCGATTCGACCTCCCATTATATTTAATTTTTCATCATCTATCAGAGAGAGTCGTGCTTCTCTCTAGTATGGACAATTGAGACATCTAGGATCTACATTTAGAAAGATCATTCCATATATAATTGGACACAATTTAAAGCATACGGATGTAGACTCTATGGAATTATGTCATGCACGCGTACAAGGTAAGATGATTACTCAGCCTTCAATTTGGAAACTCCCACAAGAATTACCACCAATGCTTGAAAGATTGTATGGTGATATTTGTAGTCCTATTAATCCAATATCGGGACCATTTCATTATTTTTTGGTCCTTATTGATGCATCATATAAACAATCACATATTTCATTATTATCAACTTGAAACATAGTGATTGCCAATCTTATATTTATACTTATTCATTTTCAGGCACATTTTCTTGATTATATTATAAAAATATTGTGTATGGATAATGCAAAAGAATTTACATCAAAGTCTTTTGAAGACTATTGTACTTCAACATGAATTGAGTTGACATATTGTGTTCCATATGAACATGCTCAAAATAGACTTACAGTGTCATTTATAAAGCATATACAACTCATTATCTGGCCACTCCTCTTTCATGTAAATTTATTTGCATCTATGTGGAGTTATGCAATTTAACATGCTTCAGAATTAATAGACCTCCGCCCTTCTTCTCTTGAAATTGTTTCACCACATGAGCTTATTTCAGATCGTATTCCAAATGTATCTCACTTACGAGTATTTGGTTACCGTGCTTAGATTCTAGTACTAGAACTTCAACGACATATCATTGGAGGTCATTGACAAGAAGGCATATATATTGGTTTTGATTCACCAAGCATTATGTGTATTGTTAATCCATCAATTGGCACATTATTACGTGCTCGTTTGTAAAATTGTCATTTTGAAGAGAATGTATTCTCATCTCTTCAAGGAAGAGTATCCAATCAACAAAGAAATAAAGTACTTGTATTTGAAGCACCAAAAATATTTACAATGAATCCCAATCCTAAGATATCTTTAACTAAAACTGAAGTTGCTAAGATTTTACATCTAAAACGAAACGTAGATGAAACACCTGATGGCTTGAATGATGCACCTAGAATTACAAGAGTTCCTATTAATTAGACTGAGAATACTCTTGCTCAGATTGCAGTGCCACTCACTACAATACCTTAAGTTATAACAACAACAACTAAAAGAATTCATGGACTAGATAAGCAACCACGTAAGAAGAAAGCTATAATATTGACTATTCTTGGTAGTATTTCTCAAGAAATTGCCACTCATCCTATAGGACGACCAATTCATGATGATATATCTATGCATAATGTACCTTTAATTCCTATGAAAAACAATCTTGGAATTGGAAGAAATAAGAACAAGTTGAATAAAGAATTATCTATTTTGTATTATGCTACAAACAATATTTGGGACAGACCATCTATTATGGTAGATGAATCATTTACATGTATGATTATAGAAGCCTTTTCTTGTGAGGAAGACAGTCCTGAACCTCAAACCATCAAAGAAGCGATGTGTCGCACTGATTGGTCAAAATAGAAAATTATTATTAAGGAGGAGTATGCCTCTTTGTATAAGAAGAAAGTCTTTGGTCCAATTGTAGAAACTCTTACATCTCACCCTTTGGAATATAAAATGGTATTAATATACAAGCGAGATCCTTATGGTCAAATAACCCACTACAAAGCTCGTCTTGTTACTCAAGGATTTACTCAACGATTTGGCATTAATTATAAATCTATATATTCTCCAATCATGGATTCAATTACATTTCGATATATTATTGGAATGGCACTTCATGCCATCCTTAAGATGTATCTGATAGATGTGGTAACTACATATCTATATCGTTTTCTTGATACAAATATTTATATGAAAGTTCCACCTGGCTTAGAAACAAGAATTGTAAATACACTTGTTCTAGGACAATATGATGATATTAAATTATGTAAGACCTTGTATGGTTTAAAATAATCTGAACACATATGGTATCAACATCTTCGAGATTATTTAATTACATATAAATTTATAAGTGATCCATTAATTCCTTATTTATTTATTAAACAATATAAAATTGGTTTTGTGATCATCGCTATATATGTTGATGATCTTAACCTAGTGGGCACTACATCTATATCTGTTGTACCTACTAATTTACTTATACGTGAATTTGAAATGAAAATGCTAGGAAAAACAACTTTCCACATTGATCTTTAGATTATGCATCTCACAAATGGTAGCATTTTTCTCTACCAATTAACGTATATTAGACAAATCTTACGGAGATGCAATATGATTGATGCTTATTTATTGTCCACACCAATGGTTGGACGTGGTTGTGATGGTCATGATCTATACCGTCCATGTAAGGAAGAAGAAGAAATATTGGGAGATCAATATCCATACCTCGCAGCCATTGGAATACTTTTATATTTGGCTACATCTACAAGACCAGATATTGCATTTGCAGATAGTATTCTTGCAAGACATAGTGCATGTCCAACACTACAACATTGGAATGGCATCAAACATTTATTACGTTATTCAAAAAGGTATTGAAGACTTGGGATCATACTACATACAACTGCAAATCCAAAATTGATTGGATATTGTGATATGGGATATAAATTTGATACTGCAATAACTAAATCTCAAACAAGATATGTATTTTTAAGACATGGAGCTACAATATCATGAAAATCAATGAAACAAACAATAACTACAACTTCATTCAACGATGTAAAAAATATTGCTTTACATGAAGCATCTCGAGAATGTATTTAGTTGCGATCAATTAATAAATTCATTCAAACAACCTAAAGATTTTAATGTGATGATTTTCCAACTATCTTGCATGAAGACAATAGTGCTTGTATTGCACAAATGCAAGTTGGTTTCATTAAAGGCGATAAAACAAAGCATATTAATCCAAAATATTTTAGTTGTATTCATGACTTGATTACTAATCAAGCACTTATAATTAAAAAAAATTAAATCTACAAATAACCTTACTAATCTCTTCACCAAAGCTCTTCTATCGTGCAACCATTGTTGATTTACCTATAGTATTTGTATGTGGCACCTAGCTTTTCTTGAATAAGAAAGTTAATGAATTATTTAAATAATCAAGAAAAATGATGTACTCTTTTTCTTTCATCTATAGTTTTGCTCTTAAATACAATAAAGTTTTCTTAGATAAGGTTTTAATGAGATAACAATTGTTGATCTTGCGAGATTACAAAAAA